CCCGGGGGGAGGGGTCCTATTTGCGCGGGAAATTATAGTCCTCAGATTGCACGGCGGTGGGCGCGTAACTACAAAGCCAAAATGCGATTTCACACTAGTAGCTTCCACATATAAAGCTAGCTTTAGGCTCTACTGCCTCCCCAAACCAACCATAAATGGAGCTCCTGTCCTTGAACGGGAACAAGACCTTATGGAAAAGAGATGCTTGTTTGCTGCTAGTGGCGACTGACCTTCCCTGTAAAGTCTGCAAAGGCCTTTCTTCCCCGGGAAATCCCTCAATTCCTGCAGACCGTGGGCATACGAGCAGTTATTGTTGCTGCACTGTCCTCCAAGAAAAGCGTTGCAGAGCTTTGTTTTCCTCAGATCAGGCAGCTGCCTAAGTTCCTCCGCAGAGTGAGCGAAAGAGCAGTTGTTACCGCGGGTGCACTTCCCGCGAGCGTGAAATACACACCAAGCTGCTTTGTAAACCCTACGAAAATGAAGGATATAGCACAGAGACAGGTCGGCGTTGCTCCGTGTGGCGTGAATGCTGCTGCTGCTGCCCAACACCGCTAAATTAGCCTATCACCAATCCAGAATGGCACTTGCAACTGTATGGACGGAACCACCAATACAACCGCTTGTTTCGTAAAATGCACTTAAGCTGCAAGGAGAGGCTCACTGCATTTTTTCTACTTGCTTGTAAAAGGGGACTGGCCCAAGGAGATATGGTTTGCCGTGGTGGCAGTGAGTTATTGGAGAGGTACACTCGATGATACACAATGCCTGTGAAGTAATGCTTCCACCAATAAGGCTTTTAGAACTTTGGGTGGACTGCTTGTACAGCTGATCCCGTACCTTCTTGAATGCGCACAAAGCCTAAGGCTGCTGCGGGGGCGCTGAGTTGGCAGCGCAGTTGCCCTCCAGCACGGAAAGCGAATATTCGAACTATACAACTCTGAAACAAATGGATCCACCGAGATTTGCAGGCTTTTTTGGTCGCCGGCAAAAATATTTCAATTCTGCAGAAACTTCTTAGCCACTCCTCAAACACTTCAAATGCGAAACGGCGACACGGGTATACACTGCTCCATGTATTGCTGTGTGATGGGGTGGCTAGGCACTTGTCCTCGAGTAAAAACAGCCGGGAGAATAAAACGAGAGGATGTTGAAGTGAAAGCAGAGTACGGGAGTACCGGCCTTGGTCTCACACCTGTCTGTGCCTAGTTGGGCGCGCGAAGCGCAGCGCTGCCGAATCGCGTGGGGATCTGTAAGAGGTAAGGAACTAAAGAAAATATACTTGTAGAAATATATTAAACCCTGCATGTAGGGAAAATGGCCAAAAACCTTGGGCGATAGAACCTAATCTGATCTGCCCCCGAGCAGCGACACGACAGCCTGCGCAGAGGTGGCCTGCGAGAACCCTAGGGGGGAAAAGGGGTGAAACTATCCTTTTTGGATTTCAAAACCTCCAAATATAATAAAAGCAAGAAACAAAAACAAATGAAAATAACGGTCGTATCCCAGTGCATCTCACGCCTCCTGTCAGTGTGCAACTTTGTTGCCGCGCGATGTCACCGTGGAGCGCCGGAGACCTGGTCATGGATTTTCTAGTGGGTACATCCCCTACATTTAGCATGAATATCTAGGTTTCTGCACAACTTTTACATTGAATTTGTTTTGTCCCAAATAAGCATGCAGGATGTTCTTTACTGAAACGAACTTCTGATCGAGCACACTAACCAGACCCTGATGCCATGACGAGCTATCGGGTCACTTGCGCACACTCATTGTGGAGCTGCAGTTGATAAGGAAGACACTTGCAGGAAATGTTTTCCACATGTTAGCATTTTGGAATGTGGACGGCTAGTAGTCCATGATGAGTCTTTACCCTTCAGATGCCGTGACGACCTATCGGGTCACTTGCGCACACCCAGTGGAGCTGCAGTTGATGACGGAGGCACTTGCATGGAATTTTTTGCATACATGAGCGTTATTGGGTATGCACGGCGTGTAGCCCAGGAGGAGTCTTTCCTCTTCTGGGTGTCGCATCCAACGCGAAATCCGACGTGCCCTGCAGTTAGCCCTCGTGAATCTGTGTCGAACAGCGGATTATTCCATAACAGTTATCTCCAGTACAATGCATTGGATCTTCTTCAGTATTTACCAGTTATTGGCATAATATATACTCAGTCCGATTGTGTTCGTTTTTTCTGATGCATGATTTAGCCAAACAGTCACCTTTCACTGGCAGCAACACCAATAACAGAGGGGTTCCAAAAGCTGCAAAGATATCTCTAAACGTGTTAAACTTACCACATATGCCCTCGATTTATGCAAAAACTGCTAAAACAATGGAGAGAAGACTCTGCATGCTGTGCGGCTCAACGTTACGGCAAGCTGAGCAACGTCTGTTCTAGGAGATCGAATTCAACAACCCCGTTACACTGTCTGGCAGTATCCACTCCCTTTTTGTCTACTTTTTAATTTAAAATATCAGTGAGTATGCACCAAGTGAGTTTGCCATCGCATGCACTTAATGGCTCGCTCTTCCAAGTGGGACTGGGAAGCCGATGCGACTGCGCAAATCTAGCTACGCTGTCAACAAAGAAAGCTTTGGGATTTTAAGATTTTAAGATGTGACGAGGAAGGCACTTGATGGGGGAGGATAAGGCCATTCGGCATGCACTGCAAGGCAGACTACTTCTCATGGCTGGTTTGGAAGCAAGCACACGTCAGATGCCCACACCCACGAATTTGTGGAGATCACAACCAAGAGATATTTGGCGGGATCGTAACCAACAACTTTTGCAATGAATTCATTCATAGCCTGCGACCTATACGTGGAGTTTGAAGCTTCGAATGACTACTGTCGGTAAGCCCAAAGAACATGCTGAGCTCGTAGCTCTTCCTGTTCTTTGCTACTAGAACTCAGCTCACCTCAAGATGCTGACTAACGGAAAAGATAGAACTGCTAACGGCCTCATGACAGGCACTGATTTTCCAGGATAACTTGCAACAATGAAATTCAGGGAAACCCTTTCCACTTATACAGCCCAGAGACGGCGAAACTGTAGAAAGTTTCATTCGGAAATTAAACTAAGAATTAATAGTAAGTAATATGTCGAGTAATTCCACTTAGAAACGGGAAGGTATCCTGAGATGCAGGTGTTAGAGGTATTTCACGAAGAATACCGAGCAGTCACCACTTGGACGTGGATCATGTTCCTTGAGAAGCTTTTTGTAATAATTCTACCAGTAAATCAAGCAGAATAATCCACATATGCGAAAAGAGCTAATCGCTGAAGGAACATGATGCGTCAGAAGACCCGGGCTCCTTTGCAGTATGCATCGTGCAAGATCGGCTGGTTATGCTTGCAACAAACCACCGACACTAGAGGGTGAACTACTCTAAAGAAGGAGGCAACATACATATATCGGGTTGAACTGAGAAAACGGAGAGGAGATCAACAGGGGTTGTGTGCTTGCCTCGTTGTTGAGAATGCACGGGGGCGCCCTGCTACCGGTAGCTCAGTTTAAGTAGAAACACTTCACATTCTGTCTGTAAAAACACCAAGAATGGGTGTACTACAAGAGGTAATGAGGGGCGATTCGCTTGGTTGCCGTGAAGAGGTGAAATGATACTATTTATCGTGCAGCTGGCTCCTAACTGCCACATTCATTCAAACGTAGCGTATCGGTCCGCATGCGTCGCCAAAGTATTGGGTAAGACTTCCATATAAATAAATCAAGAAATATATTTACTTACCAATGTAAAATACTTTAACCTGATATTACTGTTGATGTTATTTGGGTAACGTCACTGTCGCCCAAGGAGTGACTGGTCCAGCTCTTTAACCCGCTTCGCAACTAATTCGTATTCTGTCCTGAGAGCCATCCAGAAGTTTGTTTCGGATTTCATAGGCATTGATGTAGTTGAGCCTTGTGTACTTCAGTATATCCATAACCTGATCGATGCCTCTGGCACCCTGCTTCTGGCGAGACTCGACGCCACGACTGGTCGTGGTCCCCGCAGTTCGCAAATTTACCCCCACGATCTAGGGAAAATTCTACGAACAAAGACTATATATAGCCGTCTAGGTTAAGGGTAAGTGTCTGTTGAGCAGTGGCAACGGCCTTCGTGAGGAGCAAGGCAGACTGGTCCTGGTGGCTTCAGCATGCCTAGGCACAAGTTGCATTGGTGGTAAACGCCTCATTCCACCCTTCTATGAAGTATATTTTAGACGTATGCTTGTGTTTTGGCAGTGCAAGACTTTCTACACTGGCGCAGGTATTTTCATGACTTTCGATCCAATGCCACCATGCACCTGCAGCAGTGGCAGCTGCAACTCCCGCCACAATTGGACAACTCCTTCATTTCTTGTTTGCCTAACACAGAAAAGCCCATGCTTTGGATCATGCGAGAGTCCCGGAGCATGGTCTGTTGGGAGAAGTGCATCGAATCAGCCCGAAGCGGCTAATAAGGGGAGGGCCTTTCCACGTTGCCTTCGCGTACCGGTGACATCTTATATACTGCGTATTATTGTCATTTTTTTAATAGCTGCAAAGCCATCGCATATGCCCCAGCGGACGTATGGAAATGGCCAGGCATCCTCTTCGCCTTCATGGGATGCAAAGGCAGTTCCCATTTCACTGTTTTTCCAGGTGGCAGCATGGTTTGCTAGTATCTCTGTGACTAGCTTTGGCCCTGAATTCGCTTCGGCGTCTCTGTGCGCAGTCAACATATGCAATGGCGGCACGTGCTATGAGCATGGGACTGCTCAGGTGTGCGTTTGTCCGCTGCCCTTTAAGGGCCCCACCTGCACGGAGAAGGCTTCCCTCTGCATCGAAGATTGCGGCATTCGCAGCAACAGTGGTTTGGACTGCCAAAGCGCCCTTTGCTCCCTGGGTGTGTGTGTAGACACAGACGTTTCCCCTTATTTCAAATGCGAGTGCGGTGACTTCTTCCAAGGCACGAATTGCGAACAGCCGTCTAACCCCTGCACTGGTGCCGTCAACCCTTGCGGCCAAGGCACTTGCATTTTCTCTCCAGGGAAAGGCACCGGTACTGTCACCTGCCAGTGCCACGACGACTGGGAAGTTGCTTCAGGTGTCGGAGTGGTTACTACCAAGTGGGGCAACAGCGAGGTGGTAATGAATCCACCTTGCAGTGTTCGTGTGAGCCGCGGTCTTGCGAATATACCTTTTACACTTTCCTCGGGTGAGCTCGTTTTCTGGTGGACGGTGTTTGCTACAGCTCTGTGTGTCTTGCTTTGGTGCTGCTACACAGTTGCAGCCGAGTCTTGCAGTAGTTGCTTCAGAAAATTTAAGATTGCCGGACAGGTACAAAACGCTGCAAGGGCCTAGCTACACCTGCAGCAGCTACCATCGCAGACACAGTGGTATCCACTGATTTTCTACTTTTAGAACGAGCGCAAACAGCGAATCTGCTACATTGATCTGCCTACTGTGGCCTTTGAGCGATTACTGAAAACAAATGTAACGCACCAACGTATGGTGGCTATTATTGTTTCCGTGCATCCTCACTAATGCACAGGTAGCATGGATATATTGCTGGAGGCACGGCATCTGCATTTACATGAAGTACCCGGTGGTTGGCTCAGGTCTCAGCTTCGTATAAGTTAGAGTGTCGCTGCTGGAGGCCCGGCTGCTGCAGAAGTGCACTTAAGGCTATACACTTCCGCTGTCTCTAATACACTGCCAGTTTGTTGCAGATTCGTCTGCAGCAGCTTTCGAGTTCATTGGTTCTCAGCATTCCACGGTCCACTCCGCACTGCAGGAGTTAATAGTAATTGTGGTAGAGCGATATTATACACTTTTGTGGCTCAAAGCAGCCTGAAGTTTCACGCAGGGTTGTTAGCGTCGATTAGCATACGTACATCTGCTGTAGCTCCTACGTTTTTCCTTGTGTTGTCATTCCCGCTAGTTTCTGATGTATAAATCCACGGTGTCAGGGAGGCTATTTATGGGTAGCGGCTTCTCACGATGATTCTTCAGCGGTAATACTTGTGGTCGCGGTTGACATCGGTACGTACCGAAATGCGTGATACGCAGCTGCGTGGTCGTCGTCGGATTTCCCTTTGTGTTGTTGCACGCTGCAATCAGCCTAACTGCGTCGGTTTGCGCCTATGCACTTCTTCGATGAGCAGGTTTGCTGCAGCTTGAAGTGCCTGAGGGACGCCTCTCCTCTTAGCAGCGAACCAGACAGGCTGTGACACTCCCCTTATTTTTGCTGCATAGCTGCGTCTCTTCTCGTTCCAGCTGATATTCCTTGCTATTTCTGTTGCCGCTGCTTCAACCTCTGCTTTGAAGTCTTTTGGACTCCCGACGCCTCTTGATTGCAGTCGGGCTGCTGTCGCAGCCGCTACTGCAGCAGCAGCAGAACGTACAGAACGATACTTTCGGTTACATGCGTCGTGCGATGCTTTGCTCGGGGTGTTGTAGGTGCTGGCGTTGTGTTTGCTTTCCACGACGGCAGCGAGGATGGCTGCCGCCGTTCCTTTTCCTGTATGAAGCGGATTCGTATCATCCGCTTGGTTTGGGTGGCATATTAAAGACACCAGCAACTCTCTGAAGTCTCTTAGAATGAGTGGTGCCATTTCAAGGGGCAGTGCTGGCGCATCGTTGTCCAGAAGAGGATGGCTTAGCTGGTGCTCCTGCGGGTGGTTTATCCACGATGCCGAAGCAGTCCCAATCGCTCCGCCACTTCCAGTGGCTCTCTCACCAGATTGTGCACATAAATCCCCGATTCCCGCTCTTCCGTAGCTACCGAGCAAACTGCTACTTCTGGCTCTTTGCAGGAATAGCTGACGCCGCCCTTGCTGCTCGCGCAGCTCTTCTTGCTGGCATTTTTTCTTTTCTTCGCGTTCGTTTTGCGACAGAGACAATGGCACCGACTTCTTCATGAAGCGCGTGCGAATGCCGCTACCTATAGAGGACACTTCCGACAGGTCTTGACAAGTCTTGAGCCGGATGCCGCCGCTGTTGTTGTGGCCGCACCTGGAGGCGCATCCAGGAGCAGGAGCGGTTTCTTCGACATCTTCAGTTTCCATGGAAAGTGTATCAGGAGAGGCTGGCAGCCCGGGCTCTTCCGTCCCCACTGTGGCAGGAGAAGCACCAGAGAAGTGCGCTTGCGTTAGGGCGGGTTGGTCCTTCATCAGGCTCAGCTCCCGAGATCCCTCGGCTTCGGCCTCTGCTGCTGAAGCTGCGATGTGTCTGCTGCGGCTGCGCAGAACACGGCAGTTGCTGTGTGGGAACGCTATTTGTGCCTGTTGCTTCTGAGTGCAGACTCCAGAATGCTGGTCGGGGCTGTTTGGTTTTTGCGGTGGTAGGCTTTTACCTTGGTCTCTGGCTGAGAGTTTTCGATAGAACTGGGATTTGCGTCTACCGTGGAGGGAGCTCCTTATGGAGCTGGTACTTCTCGATGTAGATGCAGTGACGTTCAAAACGCTGCTTGCCCCTTTATGCAACTCCTCAAGAACTGGAGTGAGAGGGACACGCTGCTGCCGTGGATCGACAGGATGTGCATCGGTGTTTGTCCTACTGACGAAAGCAACCGTTTCAGCGCGATGCAGAGCTGCCATTGTAGCAGCGGTCGGAACAGCAGCGGCAGGTACAGGCGCACCATGTTGCCTTCTGCACTGCTGCCGATTGGTCCGTCGAGGGGAACCTTCCCAGTCGCTTCCGCTGCTGCAGTCTATCCTGAAGCTGCTGCATTCATCGCTGCTGGGGAACGAAAAGTTGCTCCTGTAATTCCGCTCACACCTTTGGGTGGACCGTGTCATTCGCAGCTTCATCCCGCTGCTTCCACTGAGAGAGCTGCCCGATGTGGCATCCACTGCGGTAGCAGCAGCACTTCTTCCACTTTTCGATCTGAGGCAAATCTGCATCTGCCGCGACGGCTGCGACCCCATACAACTCTGGCTGAAACGCGCAACCACATCATCAGGAGCAGGGGCAGTCCCCTCCGAGGGTGCTGCAGAATATTCCTTCTGACAGCTGCTGCACTGCTTGCAGCTACAGGCGTCGCCTACAGTTTCGCGGCAGCAGTATGCAAATATTCGCCTTCGCCTATTTGCCAGTCTTCCGGGCAGCCTCCTTCTAGCTCGCCTCGTTTCCACCGCTGCTGATGCCGTTGCCGCCGCTACAAGCAGCCCGTCAGATCTTTGTACAAACCGTGGATGCGCTCGTGATTCGGGAAGTGCATTTGAAGACAGCAACAACACATTTGTTGCTGCTGCTGCAGCACTTGCTGCTTCCACTTCCGGCGCTGCAACCGCACTATCAAGCAGTGCCGCTGCTGCAGCGGCAGCACCTTCAGCTTCAGCGGATGCCGTTGCAATCCTTGCTTCAAGTTCTGCTGATGCGTTACTCTCGCCTGTCGATGCTGTTACTTTTTGCCTATCTGTTGGGGATTGGACAATGCACAGCCCGGTAGCTTCCGGTAAGTCCGCTGATTTTATTTCCAAGCAGTTTCCACGGCAAAGTACGGATCTCGAATCCGGTAGAGTTGCAGCTTCTGTTTCGCCAGTATCTTGTACTGAAGCCATGTTGGCCCCTCGCATTTCCTTGCTTTCTCTCATTGGTGATCCCGCCTCGGCGAGAGCTTCTGCTGATTCTAGTGAGGCGTTGCCTTTTCGTTGTGTCGTGGGGCTTTCTCTCTGCATCTGCTTTCTGTTGCATGCAGGAAGAACGGAGTCTTCTTCTGCTTCCTCACAGGTGTCTACTGTTGTTCCCTCTGTACCTTCTACGGCTGCAAGTGCAGCATTCGCTTCAGCCAGTTCCTGCACAGCAGTTTCTTCTGCGGCAATAGCTGCTGCTGCCCTTTGCTTCGAGGCAGCAGCAACAGACCGCGCACGTACTACTGCCAATTCCGCGTTGACTTTGAGTCTGGGCATCCTGCGGCGAAAAACAGTAGCAGCATCGTGAGATGTCTGTGCAGCTGCGGCAGCAACTGCTGCTTCGTGGTTCTCCGACTTCTGGGCCAACATACATCTTAGCGCTCGCATTCTCCTAGCTTCCCTGAGCTGCTGCTTCGCTAGTCTTTGCCTCTCTCGTGCAGCATCAAGTGTATCCACATTTGCTGTTGCAGCATCTGCTGTTGTTTCAGGCCCTGAGGCATCCCTACTAGACCATATTTCGTTTTCTATTTGCGAATCTGCATGAATGCCCCCAGGGGCGTTTCCTCCTTTGGCTTCTTTGCCTGTTACGCACCGGAAACTTCCTTCAGCAGGAACCGCCTCAAAATCACCAATCAACTCAGGGCTCCGCTTCTTAAGTATCTTGTTTACCACATAGGTGCTGCAGTGGCGGGCTTTTTCCCGCCTGCGACTCCTCTGTTGGAGTAGCAGCCGCGCCTGCCACTGCTGCCTCTGGCTGTGGCGACGACGACGCTTACCTTCCTCTTGCTGCTTGTGATCTTCCTTTTGCTGGGGCTGTACGTGGCTCTCCTGTTGCAGCAGCCCCTGGTGCTGCACTGCGTGCTTGTTCAGGTGTTGCCGGTAGGGTTCCTTCCGGTGCAGTTCCTGATGCAAGTGTCTATGCTGCAGCTTCGTTTGTTGCCTTCCGGGGTGCTGAGACCTAGGGTGCTGTGTCGATTGCTCTTGCACATCCTGAAGTCCTGGGTCTTGCTGCACGTGCATTTGTTGCATGTGTAGCCCTTGTTGCTCTGCATGCTGCTGCAGCTGCATCTGCATCAGCTCATGCCGCTGCGGCTTCGTGCAGTGCGCCGCTTCTTCGAACGCCCCCCCTAGCTCCTTAGTAACTTTGAATGCTTCCTGAGCAACGTCTCCGACGTTCTGCTGTTGCAGCGGTTTTAATTGCTGCATTTCATGCAATTGCTGCAGACTCTGCTGTCGCAGCGTCTGGAGACGCACTTGCTTTAAAGGCTGCAAGTACTGTTGCTGCAATTGCAGCAGCTGGTTGCGTTCGGTCAGTAGGATGGGCTGCATAGCAGAGACCTGGAGAGGCAAAGATGCTTGCCGTTGCAGTTGCAGTTGCTGCTGCAGTTGCAGTTGCTGACGTTGGCACGGTTGCAGAAGAGCGCCACTTTTCTGCTGCTGCTGCTGCCCCCACTGCACCTGCTGCAGATTCTGTTCCGAGCCTCCTTGTTGCATACTGTGGCATTGAAATGCTGGCTGTTGCACCCTTAGCTGCTGCACCGTTTGCCCGTAGCGTTGAGTCGCTTGCAGCACCGCGTGGAACAGTTGCTGCTCGTAATGCAGTGTGTGCTGCCCCTGTGGATCTACGGCTTGTTGCTGCTGTACGTGGGGTCGCACCACCGTTGGAGGCGGCGGTTTCGTTGACGTATGGTGACTGGATATCTCAGTATCTCTACTGTTGCTGTTGAGCTGCTGCGTCACCTGGTTGGTTTGCCTTTGCTGCTGCTGTCGCGGCTGTGATTGCTGTTCCTCCGACTCGTGATGAAGCCGTTCGTTCCCTGGCTGCCATGTTTGGTGCATTATGGGTAGAGATGGGCCCCCGTCAAAGCTGTCCTGTAGTGAAGAAAGGAGCTGCCGGTCCCGTTGAAGTAGGGCTGCGGCGGCGCGCAGCATTTGGTGACGCCTGCTGCACGCCTTTAGCAGTACTTGGCTGACTGCACCAACACCAACGCACCGCAACGCATGCAAATGTTTACAAGTCTCTCGCTGCTGCTAGTCATCGGGGTTTGTTCAGGCCTTACTCTGTCCCCAAGTCTTGGCTGCTTTTGCTGTCGCCATTTTAAGGCCTTGTGATGCTGCCCCAGCATGTCCTGAAAGGAGACGGCACTTTAGTGCAGCTATGGCCAAGCTTGTTGAGAGGCTCCTTCCTGCCAAAGCAGAAGCTGCAGCAAATACACAAGTGGGTGCTTGTTGCGCCAACGCAGCAAGCCACCTGCTGCTGCGTGCAATGGCTGCTGCTGCTGTTGCTGCATCCTCTTTGTCTTCGAGACTGGATAGTGGTAACAGGCTTGGGCCACCTGTGACCATGGAGGCAGCGGACATGTTGCTGTCCTCGGCAGCCCATGCAGAAGCGTCGTGAGCCTGCTGTACCGGCCGGCACAGCGGTGAAGGGCTGCATGGCCGCTGGCCGTCAGTTGTGTGAAGCGCTTTCGGTAGCGCATGCAGCAGGTGCTGATGGGGCTCAGCAAGACGGTTCTGTCCTGCTTGCTGCTGGGGCTTTTGCTTAGGCGCCGGAAGCGTCTCTCCTGCTGTCTTTTTCTGGCAAAAAATCGGCTTTTCCAGTGCGCTTAATATTAGGCCAACCAGGTCGTGCAGCCGTTGCAATCGGTGGTGCTCACCGTAGCTATTTCCCCTGCTTACCTTTTGCTGCTGCTGCATCTGCTGCAGTTGACACCCCAACGGTGGCGAGAAAGAGCCGGTGTTTTGCTGAAATGAAAGTCTCTCTCTAATTAAAGCTGCTTGCTCAGTCATATGATGCTTTTGTATAGACGGTCTCAGCAGTTGTAGCTGCCGGAGGATCCGCTGTTTCAGCCGTTGCAGCTGCTGCAGTCGTCGGTATTGCTGGCCCAGCACGACTCTCCTGTAGCAGTTGGCGCATGGTCGCAAGGACGCAGCCAGGGTACCAAAGTCGTCCTCCGCTAGTCCAGCAAAGTCCGCAGTGCTTCGCTCTTGACAGGCATAGGGCAACTGAGCAGGAGAACCATCAGCACCTGACTCGTCATCTGATGTTTTGCTTGTGAACGTATTACTCGGCTGCGTTCCTGCCGCGGCTGAGGCAGTAGCCTTCGCAGCAGCAGCGGCAGCTCCAAATGGGCCCTTGCTTGTATCTCCGCATGCAAGGATGAAGACTAGAAGGGCTGCTAAGCACTCAGAAGTATTAAATGTAGATACATTTGTGGCAGCATCAAGAGAGGAGACTATCTGCCAGACCGGTTCTTTCTGCTGACTACGATCTTCGCGTTGCAGAAGTCGGCTGCGACTGAGTTGGTGGAGCAGCTGGTGCGTTTGGTGGTGCTGCTCTCGCTGCTGCTGAGGCAGATGCGGGTTCTCGTGCTGCTTTTGGGCTGGATGCTTGTTGGCTGGACGATTGTTGATTGTAGTTTGGGCCTTAAGAAGATCTTCTGCAGAGGTAGGCGACTCCCTTAGCCTTCTGCGGGCGCAGCAAATAAGCAAACTCAAGGGACTGGCTAAAGCAGCTGCAAGCTTGCCTTTGCCTAGACATTCCAAACAGGACAGAGATGCGGAGGATGACAAGCGATATAAGGTGAATTAATACAATTATCTAACGCTCTCCCGTATTGGCAAGGAGGGTGCAGCTAAACGAAAGGGTGAAAAAAACCTCGTGCGAGTTTGTTTGCTCCATATGTCTATCCTTGCGAACTTTTACTGCTTGTATCCATCCCAGTCCGAGTGTATTGTACTATCTCCACAACTGTGTACAGGCGTTTTTTTCGTTATGCTGGGGCTTCTAGCGGATTCACATCTATGAAGGGGCCCTCACTCGCTCAGGCCGCTGCATCTTCGACAGATTGCAGATTCTGACAGACGTTGATAATTCCCAACCGTGCAGTGCAAGTGCAGCAGCGAGCTGCAGCTGCAACAGAGAAGCATATCATCTAATCCGCAAACACACCACAGAGAATAGACGAGTCAATCTACGCACAAGCTCTTTGGGTACTGTGATTCTAGGCAGCTGCCGGCCAAATGAACGGCTTAAGAACGGGGAAGGGAAATATTACCCCCATGGGCAGCTTCTACTCCGCACTGCATACATTGCGCTCCCCGTATCTGGTGGACTGCACTAGGTCCTGCTTCTGTAACACGCACGCAAGTTGTCAGCATCAACTATGAGCCCGAAAGGCTGACTCCGGCAAGCAAAACCCTCAGCAGCTAACCCCACTACCTACCCTCCCTCTGAAGCCCTTCCCATACCGACAAGTCGCAACGCCGCCTGCTCCCAAAGCCGCCGTCGCAGCCGCGTGAATAGCCGGGGTCCCAAGTCAGCAAATAAGAAGTCGCCTGCGTTCAGGGCAATCCCTGGAATGGATGTTAACACCAAGTGCGGCCACCCGTTTACATACACCTGCAACACATCACCATGCAGATGCAGGCCCGGAATGCAGGTCTGCTCCTCGCAATTCCCTTGGCGTCTCAGTGTTTGTGGGCAGTGTGCCACAACGACAGGTGCAACACACTGACGACAGCTTCGCTTCCAGCCTTTGCCAAGTTTTGCATACGCCGCAAAAAGAGAAAATACGTGGGGGAAGACTGACGGTGTGCAGCTCGCAGTTTTGCTGAAAAGCAAGGGGTGTTGGGGCATCAAGTCGTGGGACCTCGAAATGTCGCACAGCTCCTGCAGGCGTTGCAACTCCACCGCCCGCCGTACAGACGGATATGCACAAACAACCAGCGGCCGGCAACAATAGTGGAGACATTGCGGCTGCAGGCGACACTCCAGCTCCTGTAAACCCAGCTGCAAGCAAAACGCAGCAAACGCAGCTGCAACAAGTGCACACGTAGCAAGCGCTCCAGGGGTGGCAGGTATATAAGCAGACAGGCCAGCAGGCAGCAGATATCCGTAGTGGAAATGGCAGCGAGTGGAAAATACTTCACTGTAATAAATTTCACATTTGGAACACAAGACTATGTGGGGCTATAGTGTTTGGCGTATGGACCGAGTGCGAGCAAATCCAAAGTGAAAAGGAGTGACTGCTTGATTCGACCTTTATGTGTTGGAAGGCCTTTTCAAATTCTTCGTCAGGACATGCAATGAAGACTGAGTGAGTTTCCAGGAAGGCGGCACCTGCAGCCAGGATCAATGAGTGTTTTTGACCGCTTATACACCATAGAAATAAACTCACATATGATCGCCTCAGGCGTGAAAGAGAGTCCAAAGCAAGCCAAAGGTAGGTCTTCAGAGGCCACCCTTGAACTCAGCGCCACCCGCCCAGATATTTGGCCCAATACCACCGGGACCTGTGGGCACTCGCACCACCAGGTCATTGGAATGCTATCCTCGGCAAATGGGAGGCAAAAGCGAAGGCAGAAAAAGCCGCAAACATACAATTGTAAAGGAGATAAGCATGAGCAACAGGTCCGGACAGACAAAGGTGAACGCAGACGGAAAAAAAGGGGAACAGTATCCACCTATGACAGACTCAGAGGGAATAAAAACAATAGACACCTTGTGAGAGGCAGGAATGGGGTGGCAACCATCGCGGAGTCGGCTGGCGTAAGCGGTTTCATTGCATGGCGTTCCGAGCCGAAGAGGATGTTGAGGATCCGCTACTTCTACACATTCCAATCTGCGGCCCACAAACGCACCTACAACCCCTCCAGCCGGTGTTGCTGCTTTATCTGCAGTTAGTTCAGCCTCCCTTGTTCCTGCTGCATGCTCGGATTGGTCCGAGCTGCAGAGACACAGCAGCAAATCCACCAAAAGTGAGCGATCTCCCTCTTGAGAGTGCCTTGTCTCGCCAGGTGGCCTCGAGTTTAGCGCTCCTGGTGAGTCGGCGTTTTGTGCTATCCGGTGGAGCTCGTGCTGCTCCAATCGTGAAGCGTCTGCTACAGCAGCAGCTGCAGTAGCAGATGTTCCATGAGCTGAAGAAATCGAAGACAACACTTGTTGTCTTGCCCGAAAAGGCTGTGCAGCTGCTTGGGGGACTTCATCGGGCGGTAGCTGCTGCTGGATGCAGCTGCCTGATGCAATCAAACCGTTGGAACATGGGGAAACGAGCACATCTAGTCCCTTGGCACATTCAACGCCTCCAGCAACGGCCAATCCAGCCTCTGTCCCATTTTCCTTGGCTGCAGAGCCTCCTATGTTGTAACTATTCAGGTGCCACTTGCGCGTTTGCTGAATCTGCTGCTGCAATTGGTGCTGTTGCTTCTGTTGCTGCAGCAATTGCTGCTGCTGCATCTGTTGCAGCTGCATCTGCTGCAGCTGCAGCTGCTGCTGCAGCAGCTGCTGGTGCTGCGTATTGTTTGGCATATGTGCTTGTTGAATATTGACTATCCCTTCAAACGGTAACCACTGCGTCGTTTGCTTCAGCTGCAGCTGCCTCTGTTGTTCTTGTTGGAACTGCTGTTGTTGAAGCATGTGTTGTTGCAGCTTGTGCTGCTGGAGCAGGTGATGCTGTTGTAGCAGCAGTTGGTTCTTGTCTTGGCAATAGATAGGCAAATGCTGAGCCTGATTAGCTACTTGCTGCTGCTGCAGTTGTTGTTGCTGTAGCTGTAAAAGTTGTCTTCTCTGGAAGAGCATTTGCAGTTGTTGCTGTATCCGCTGCTGCTGCTGCTGCTGCTGCTGCTGCTGCTGCTGCTGCATGGGCAACATCTGCTGCTGTGGCTGCAGCTGCGGCTGTGTCTGCTGCTGCCAATTCTGTAACTTCTGAGGGTAATCCTGATACCGGAAAGTTTGGTCGAACCGCTGCTCCAATTCTTGCTCCTCTCTTTGACGGAATGCAGCGAGACAGCTTGCTGCACCCCCTGCTGCTGTGGTTGCCAGCCTTAACGCTGCTTTTGCTGCTGTTGTTGCTGCTGCTGTTGCTTCTGCTGCCCCTGAGGCCACTGGCGCTACAGGAACGTGAGGTTGCAGTCGAGGGTGCAGAGAATTCGCCTCCAGTCCACCGAAGGGCGTAATGGTTGCTGCTTCTGTTGTTGTTTCTGCTGCATCTGTTGTTGCTGCTGCCATGTCTGTTGATTTGTTCCACAAGATGCTGCTGGGAGCAGCTAAAGGTACTCCATATGCCGTGGGTGTTTCCTGTGTTGCTGTTGATGCGTCAATGCACATGCCAGAAATGAGTGAGCTTGCAGCGTGCTTTCTTTCTTGTCTCTCTGGAGCAGTGCCAAAACCGACTCCATTTGCTTTTCCTTCTGGGAGGATCTTCTCTCCCCTTGGCTGGCAGCATTCGTCGGCTAGAAGACAGCGCCCTGCTAGTGTTGTTGTAGACGCCACCGCTGCTGCAGGTGCTGTAGCTACTGGATGTGCTGCTTCCGGTATTGTAGCTGTCGTAGGTGCCGCTAAAGCTGTAGCTGCTGCAGCGCGTGTGCGGTAGCTGCTTGTTGCATCCCCCGTCTTAGAGCCTTCGGTATCACCAAAGCCAGCAGCAGGAGTAGCAGTACAAACAGGCAGGAGCTGCGGTGCAGCAAGCGAGAAAAAGCCGCTGCCGCTGGCAGCTGCAGAAATGCCCAGTGTCGGACAGAACAGGGCATATACAGGAGACCACCGTGGAGTCAACAACAACTGTGCCTCCCGCTGATTGCTGCTCCTGATGCACTTTCGGATTTCGGCAAAGTCCCCAGCTGCAGCAGAGATGTTCTGCACGGCTGTCTGGAGCAACTCGACTCCTTGCCGTAGCTGCGTGTAAAGCGATTCATTCTCTATGCTTGCTTCACGGTGTTTCCCAATTTGTTGCTGCATGTCGTCTTGATTTGAGGTTGGTGGCTGAGCGGGTGCTGCGTTCGGCAGCAGGCTTTGCTGCTGCGACGTTTGTGTTGGTTGTTGCTGCTCCCGCTTATCTTCTTGCCGTTGCCGTTGCAGTTGTGTCTGTTTCTGCTGTTTTTCTTGCCGCCGTTGTAGTTCATCTAAACGCCAAAGGATATAGTTTTCTACCTCCCGGAGCGCAGCAGCAAACATCACTTCTTGGCGTTTGTGCTGCCGCTGCTGCCTCCACGATATCTGGTCGTCGTGCTGCAGCGGGCTTTCACCGCAGTGATGCAGCTCCCCAAGAATGCTGCTTGCAGCCCGTCGTGCATGCGGGGTCATGCATGAAAGCTGCTCCAGCTGCTGCAGCTGTTCGGCCAACTCCGTGTACTGGCATTCCCTTCTCTGTAGTTCCTGCGGCGAGGCGCATTCCTGTCGCGTATCTTCAAGCAGACCTGCCAACGTTGCTTGCGTCCGGCGTAGGAGTCGCATCTCCACCTGTGTTGACTGAGGCTGCGGGCTATCATTCAGGTGGCGCTGCCCCCCTCCACGCTGCTGAATCTCCTCTTTATCTGGAGCCAGTCTGGCGCAAAGCTCCAAAATCCTGCAGCTTCTAAGGCGCATTTCAGTTGCTATTTGGTCCTGCTGCTGTTGTTGCCGTTGCAGCTGAACTTCGAGGGAACCTAAACTCCCTGCGCTCTCTTCACTAGCCATTGCCCCATAAATGCATCTTTCTAACTCTTGCAGCTCGTTGTGATGGAGCAGCAACTCATGGAGCTTCCGCTCATTTGCCAGTTGCAAGTCTGATTCAGTGCATTGATAGTCGTCCCTAATTATTGTTGCAGAGCCGTGGGTTTCCGAGGCGAGATTCAGCCTGCCATCTACATACTCGAGACTGTTCCGGCGTGCAGACGAAGGGGATCTAACGGGGGAGTCATTTTTGTAGGCTTGGGTTTGCTGTGTAGTCTGTATGCGTGGCTCTTCGAGATCTAAGGGCTGCTCTTGCTCTGCCTGCTGGTATTCCTTTTCCTCTTGTTGCTGAAGCTGCAGAGCCACCAGTCCTTGGGGCGCTCTTTCCTTTCGCCAGAACTGCTGCGAAGCCTTTCTTTGCAACTCGGTATGCCTCTGATTAGAGGGAATGTACCGCCAGTCCGTAAGGTGCTGCTGCTTTAAAGACCGCTGCTGCTGGAGGGCAACAACAGCTGTGCCACCTTTTCTTGCAGGTGTGTTGCAATCCGATAGCCCTTCAGAGACGTGCTGCTGCTGACGATGTAACGGTGAGGTTTCTGGTTGACGCATTTCGCCATCAAAACTGCGCATACTGCGAGTAGATGACCCCTGAAGCAGCGAAGACCGGCCCCGAATTTCGCCTGTCGTCTGGGGGGCATTTGGGGAGCTGCGATGCCCACTGGTGCTCCTGCATCTTATGTTGGTGCTAACGTTATTGTTCCTGGATGGCGGCAGTCCAGGTGAAGCTCCTGAGTCGCGCAGCCATTCGTGCATAGCAAAGGCCTCGCAAGCGGCATCGTCATGCACTGTACAGACTGGTATTCGCCATGGAGAGCGCAGAAACTTTTGAAGGCTTGCCCGGTGGATATTTGTAAGGACTTGGGCTGGAACCTCCTGCCGTCTCAATGTCACACCTTCCCCAAGGCCAAACAGTAACAGCTGCTCTCGCCGCTGGGTCAGGTCCTCTACCTGCTGCTGCAGATGCACACAGCGGCTTAAAACTATGTGGACTATCTGCTGCAGCTCCTGCTCTCTCTTCAGTTGTACAATCAGCCGATCCTCCAGCTGATCGAACTTCACTACCAGATCCTGCCTTGTCTGTCCAGGGGGGTTTGAGCCGTGGATGGCGCTTTTTTGTCGCTGTATTAATTGAATTCTATGAAGTTTCTGTCCCTGCTCCTGCCGCATCTGCTCTTCATACGCCTCCAGTAGCAGGCGTTGGCGTTGCAGAGTAGCAAGCACTTCTGCTCCCGCCGCTTGCTGCCGTTCCAGCATCAACTCCCGTCGCTCCCATGTGCTCAAGTTGTGCTGTCCGTTGTACTCGACCTGAGAGAGCTGCACAGGGAACGTGCAATAATTCTGGCGTCTACCATGCTGCTGCACTTGCTGGCAATGGAGAAGCGGCATACAGTTTCCCGCTTCTTTGTGTTCCAGCCTGCTCACATCGTCCTCTCCAGTGGCATTTGCCCTGCCCAGAGCAGCAAAGATTCGGTCAAGGGCCAGCTTAAGGAGATTAACGGAACAACCGTCGAGGAGCTGCCCTGGAAAGACATCTGTGAAGACCGACTCGTGGGACGTCTGGGGCTTCATCTTGCCTAATGAGGCACAGCTGGCTTCGCAGGCTGCTCACTGGCAAAAACAAAGACAGACCATACGCCAGAGGGCCGAAGGGGTTTCGTTGTTCCAATTGGCAGAATGGGCTGCACCACGCAAAAGATGAAGGTCACCAAGCAGCCTTAACTTGAGCTTTTTAATTCTTCATAAAGAGCTTGTGACTGCGTCGGAATTATTTACTGGACGAGAATCCGGCGAGACGACCTGTGTACGTGCAGGCTGTGCTCGGCAGAGAAAAGCTGGCATACTCGGCTCAAACAGTCAATAAACATGTGTGAAGGAAGACAAAAATGACCTAGCAAAGATTAGTAGATTATCGCTGTTCTGGAGGTGTGGGAGAACTGTCTAAGCTGAAAAGACCTGGAGTCAGTTGACTCCGACAAAGGGCTCAGATAACCAGCCAGTCTTTCGACAAGCAAAATAAAACAAATGCCAGCTTATCCAATACGAATCGATTATGACTAAGAGTCTAGAAGTTCCAGTGGTGGTAAATTTCAACATCAGCAGCCACAATGGCCCACTGGGGTCCCCGGTGCGGTGTGATTCCACTGAGATGGCGAAAGGTGACCCTCCCCCTGTCATACAAAAGAGGAGGTGAAATACTTAAAATGTCACTTCCAAATAGTTTCAAGCCTGGTAATATACTCTATACCTTGCTACTGCCCCTGTTGCCCACACGCACGAGCATTTCGGCGACGAACCACTGGGGCAGCATGGCAACCGAAACCCTTCTTCTCCATTCCGGAGTAAAAATCCTACTTCCCAAGTGAATCATTGTCTAAGATGTACCTCAATTATTTCCTCTGGCTCAAAGCGAGGTGAATGTGCAGCTAACTGGCAATCGCACGGATCGTATCAACCGTTTGCCGGCTAGTGTGGGAGTACCGCAAAAAGAATTGGATAATTAGAATGCACACACTAGAGAGATGTAGTGACGATTTTCCGTGTTTGCGTTGGGCACATCTCCGGATCAGAACGTGAGAGCCGTATTATCGGCGAACTCCCCGATGCGGCCATTGGACTACAGCAGCATGTAAGTGTATGGACAACATGTGAGAGCGAAAAAAGTAGGTTGAAAGCACTTATACACCTCAGAGTTCCTCCCTGTCCTGTAGAGGGGCACTAACCTGCAAAATGGCAGGGGGATACAATTCAAGGGCGATCGGCAAGCAATGCCCAAATTGTAGAGGTATAACTATAGAAAAACATCTCTATTAGGCTCATTAGCTACGGACAATACGCGCTTTATAAGGCGCCGAAAACGCACGGGAGGTCTCATTAGCTTCCGTATACTGCAAATGTCGTAGATAAAATCCCACGAATAGACACCCTTCAGATGAAAGGAGCAGTTTGTCGTGCTCTTAAGGTGAGCGAAAATCCATATCCCAAAAAGCCAAGAATTGAAGGCCCCAAATCGATGACTAAAGTTGCCGGACTGAGCAGCCTTTGAGGAAAGGGAGCCGTGAAACTGCCTCCTTCGTCCATTGATTGCTAATAGTGTTATACTTGGGGATCAAATTAGAATATTCATGAGCACAAACAGCACGATATGATTTCCTTGATTCGAGACCACAAGGCGCCAACTCGGCGGAATCTGACGCGAGCTTTGTCTGGTGCAGATCGCCCTCCGGCAATTAGCAGAGGCGGGTAGAAGTCTCGATATTTCTGCGCTTATGGGCCATTGAAAGCCCGGGCAGCCTTTGTTAGTTCCTGCAGCATGCAACACAAGGGTCTTGCCGATCACGCTTCATAGGGTGGTTGGCTTCAGAAGCTACAGCAAGAGGCACCAAAGGAGCTGAGGGCCCCCTCCCTTTTTCCCATAATCCTAGCCGTTGCACCGAGGTGCTGAGGACGCCGGAAGGGATAGAGAGAGAACAGTTTCGGCTCTTTTTGGAGAATTATTGAGTGTTTTGGTGCTGTTCTAGCTGCTGACGGTCCTTTGCCAATGCCAAGTAGCCAGGTTGCACTGAAGGCTGCCAAACTGCCAAACTACATTAGCAGAGGCATGAAGCAGCGTGTATTCGAGGGCGGCGCAATATGTGATCAACAAGCAGCAGGAGAAGCTGGGGGTTTCAGCCGTGTACTGTCACGGCAACGCGTAAGGGTTCGATCAGCATTCATACCAAGCAGGCTGCGTAAAAGTTGCTGCAGCACATCATCTCGGTCCAGACCAGAAGGCATATAGGGATGAAAAGCCGGAATTTGGCCTTCGAACTCCTCATTCGATGCGAAAAGTCGGCTGTAGCCTGGCCTGGTCGAATTTGGCACCTGGATACACCTGGATTTCTACGTGCGCGCAAGCCGGTTACAGGATACCGTGTTTAATTGAACATAGTGCCGGGGCACTCTTCGATAAATGTTAGTGAACGTAAATGAGAGGTTGCCTCTCAGCATGTGCTGCTGCAAAGAAGTGCTGCACCTAATGGCAGATCGCGTCCTCCCTGGACCAACTCAGAAGGCTTGTGCAGACAGGGTCGCTACGCCAAGGACTTCAGGAGGTAGTAGGCTGTGTCAACTACATTACGGTGGTTCTAAACTAGACTATTTTGGCCCAAATTTAGCTCACGAAGGTCCTCTGCTAGGACACCCACCTCACGTGCCTCAACCGCAAGCAAGACGGGCATCCAACAGACGAGAGGCTAGAGCGCCTCTCCGCAGAAATACGTGAATATTCTGGAGTGGCAATGAGGCCAGCCATATCTAGTGCACCAACTGTAAAGTGCGCTTAGCGATATAAGGTATGCACCAAGGGATGCGCAGACACACTAACCAGTGCTGGCTACTCAAGGGTACGCATGATCATGGAGTCGACAGGCATTTGATTTCCCTCATTTACACATAAAATAGCCTTTAATATAATCATTAACTGTGCGTGCATTTTAAAAGGTGTTGTTTACACCTGCTCCTCTTCGACTGGCCAGTCTTCCTGGCAGGTGGTGGTAGTGACGACCCCACCCTTGGAAGGCTGAATGCATCACCCATCAAGCTTTGGAATCAACTTAATTTCGTTCCTTGTCTTTGTTTTTTTCAAGTATTATCAAGCATTTAACTCGAACCTGAACCGTTGGTCGCCATGCAATTGCTTGCATCTGTTTCTGCTTGAGCCCTTTATCCAAGGGGCTTCCATTCCAGCAACACCCCGTGAGCCCGCTCCTCCAGGGGCCGTTGTTTTGAATGGTTTCAATGTGAAATTCTTCTTTCTTTGTGTTTTTCATGGCATTTTGTGCTCGTCTGGTTATCGTAGAGCAGCGTTTCGGATGGCCTTCCTGCCGGAGTTGGGGCTGGCTCCGTTTGATCGTGCGGTGTGCGGGTGTGTCGGTGGCTGTCTGTAGGCGTTTGCTAGCTGTTTTAGAGAGGCTTGGCTGAGGGACGATGAGCCTAAATGGGGCATCGCCTGCCCTTTGTTCCGGCGTCGGGGGGGGCCGCGATGCTGACCCCAGCAGCGTGGGCATGATGGAGGGGGCTTTCTTTGTTAGCAGGACGGAGCTGCTGGACTGGTTGAACAACACCTTGGCCCTTAGTCTCACGCGTGTGGAGCAGTGCGCTTCGGGCTGCGTCTATCTACAGGCTTTGGACAATTTGTTCGGGCCTAAGAGCCGCGTTCCCATGAGTAAGGTTAAATGGGGCGCCAAGCATGAATATGAGTTTGTTCATAACTACAAGCTGCTGCAGGCTGCCTTTGATGCCCATGAGGTCAACAAACACATTGAGGTTAACCGCCTCGTCAAAGCCAAGTATCAGGATAACTTGGAGTTCCTCCAGTGGTTCAAGGCCTTCTGCGATCGCCAGGCGGCTCTATACGCCACAGACGTCCCCTATGATCCAATTGAAAGGAGGAAAGTATGCTGAGAACGGCCGGCATGCATCCCCCCACTATGAACCACGCTGCTGCTGTTGTTGCTGCTGCTGCTGTTGTTGCTGCTGCTGTTGCTGCTGCTGCTCCCCGTTGTCTCGATGAAGCATGCATTTTCCCCCGTAAAACGTCTGCTGCTGCTTTTGTTTTTGCCTGCTTTATTTAAGCTTGGAATAGGTCCATTTCCTGCTTGGGCTCCTGTTGGTCCTGATGTGGCCGCGAAGAAGCCGTCTGCCGCATATGCTGCTTCCACAGCAGCCACAAGACAAGCAGCAGGAGCGCAGGCGTCCTCACGCTGCCGCGTGCAGCAGCAACAGCAGCAACAACAACAGCAGCAGCAGCAGCAAAAGCAACAGACTGCAGGTGCTGTCACGGGGACAGAGGCTTCTAACGGCGCTTTGGGCAAGCGGGTGCATCAGCAGCAAGGGGGTTCACAGCAGCGGGGCCGTGATGACGCTGCAGCTGCAGCTGCCGCTGCAGCAGCTGTCGAGACATTGCAGGGAGAGCTGCAGCAGGCTGTTTTGGAGCGGGACTTTTACTATGGGAAGCTGCGCCGCATTGAAATATTGTGCGGTGTGCAGGGGCAGACATCTTTGAGTGTAGAGGCCGTGCAGGCGATCTTGTACGCCAAAGACCACGCTGACGAGCCTACAGAAACAGTAGAAGGAAACCTTTGAATCTGCTTTGTACAGGAAGAGTTCGAGTATTCTTGCATGCAAGCTGGCTTGCTCGGACCAGCACGTCGTTTATGGCACTTGCATGCTTGACATCACGAATCTTCGAAGGCCGCTTCATTGTACGGCTACTCAATATAAACAAATTTGTGAAGGCGCCCTCCCTCAATTCTCTAAGGGAAGTGCCACTCTATAGGTGCGTGCCCTTCTGCTGCTGCCGTTGATTTGCGGCTTGCTGTGGCCCTATCCAGAATCGCCGCTCAAATATAGCTGATAATCTGAATTTCCATTGTTTTTCACGCAAATCGGTGCTCCTTTCTGCCTAACTCCTGGGCAACTTCCTTGAAGCCCCAAGCGAGGCTGGCCACGCCTGGACGTGTACCGGAGGCAGTAAGAAAGAATTAAGAAATCGATACAAATATCCCCCGACGTAACGTTAAAATGAACAGTAGCACAGTAAGAAATGGCTTTTGGCGGACAAGCGCTCGATCTGCAAATATAAGCAGCATACAGGCCACCTAGAGAGTGGCTCCCCTAACCGTCTGTTTCGTACATATTTCGATGTGGTACAAATCCACGCCTCTAATCTCTTTTTATTTTTAATGTTTGTAGAATAGTCAAGAAAAACGACGTCTTTCACCAAAGAAAACTAAGACAACGATGAGTGATCAGGTGGCCAAGCATATTCTTTTTTAACACATGAACTATATAAGCATGCACATCATCTGTTGTTGCCTGATGTTATTCCTTATCCCCTCCAGAATTCTGTTTCATTTCCAAACCATCCCTACTTTTACAGCTCCCTGTATCTGAATAGACTATAAAATGTAGGGCAAAATTATGCCATTCGCAGAAATACAGACTCATGGAAGATCTTCGGATTTCAGTAGAGTTTCATAACCTTCGTCGAGGGAAACACACGCATGTCAAGGAATCATGCTGCAATGAGGCAAGCATAGCCAAGGGTTTTAGGCGACTAATAGGACTATGTTACCCTCTCCACTGTCTTCGTGACTCAAGCATGGCTGTAACTGTACACTCTGTGCAAAACCCTCAGAGAGAAGAGCGGCTGGCAAGTGTAAAATATGCTAAATGCATACATTTTCTAGTGTCGTACAGCATCGACATCGACTGTGTAACGTTCATATTGCCACCCATACGCCAACTAAAAACGCAATTAAGTCTGCACTTGTGGGGTGAGAAGAAGGCAATCCAGAAAGGAAGTATGGCTAGCTGCTGACAACCGGTGTACCAGAACACATCGCGCGAATGGTTCCGAAGCAACGCCTGCATTAACTGCAGCACTGTAGCACCTAAACAGGACATGGGATTCTCTGGATGTGTGCTGGCCTGCCATAGACTTGAGGGGTTTTTGCCCGTTGGGAGGGCAGGGGTACTATGTTGAACCTATAGGAAAAGAATGCAGGCGGCGCCTCATGTGTGTGCAGCTTGCCCATGATTGAATGTAGTTTTCATGACTAGAGGCTGGTAGTTTCAGTGTTTCAGGGTTTAGGGTTTGCTGAGGGGCAGCAACGGGGTTGGTTAATTCGGTTAATACATCTAAAACCGTGTTGAAAACAGCAACCGAGAACTGCGATGTTCGTACACCTCGTCACACTGCTGCCTTAAGATCGGCCCTACCACCAGGACACAGGCGGCTGCAGGGCCCTGAATAGGCAGGCACTACAATGTTCCTCGAGGGGGGCTTTAGGATATATATCCTGCCGAAAGAGTGAAATTAATATATTATTAGAATTAAATTAGCTAACTTTAGACAGGTTATTTATGATACGAGTGCTCGGCTGCCTCCGAAGGTTTGGGGCTGCTTACGAGGCTGTGAACCAGGACTGGCTGTTAGATCTACCGTCCTTCTCCTTCTTTTCAATACGATACGGGGTAAATAAGCCCTATGAAGGACTGTGCTTTGATAATTTCAGGTAAGTTGGGGGGTATATGGTGAGTGTAGAGCCTAGAGGATAAAACGGTACATCGTAGTATCTATCGTGGCAGCCACGAGGGAGCTGGTCATTGCATCCCCCGTTGCAGTTAAGAAGGAAGAAGGGAGGATTGGGCAACTGTTGCCTTTAATTGACACTTGAAGGTGTTAATTGGCTACTTATCGGTTCAGGGTTTATGGCTTGACGTGCAGATTTCCTGCCTGCAGAAGTGCGTTGCTGCTGCTGTCTCGACAGCAGCAGCAACGCAAACACAGACGCCAGCCTCTCTCACGCTCTTACCACAAGCTTGGTGCTAACCGCCTGGCGGTTACAACAACACTATTCTTAGCAGCAGCGTTATCAACAGCAGTTCCAGCACCAGCCGGTGCCAGCCAGGGCAACAGCAGTAGCAGCATCGACAGGTGCCACTGGCTATCGTAGGCCAGCCAGGGATACCGCAGCACTATCATGCTTCTATATCCACAAGCCATCAGCTGCAACAAGGGAAACGAACCTGCTGCTGCAGTACCCCCTGCTGCTGCTGCTACTGCTGCTGCTGCTACATCTGCTGCTGTCCCGCTCTGGCAGCCCTCCACTGCGGGAGCTCCCCTCCCCAGGGTTGCTGTTGCAACAGCAGATGGAGACAATTGGTTAGTCCTTGAGAGCAGCAGTAGCGGCAGCAGCAGTGGGGACGAGTGCAGCAGCAGCAGCAGAGTTGACGTTTTCCGTCCATCGCACACGTATAGATGGAGGCGTGTCAGTTCCTCGCAAGCAGAAGGACGGTGTTCACCAGTAACTGCAACAGCAGCAGATGTTCCCGGGACAGCAGCAGCTGCAACAGAAGCAGTAGCAGATGGAGCAGTATCCCGTCTTGGTGCATCTGTGCGGAGCAGCCCCTCCGTGTTGCTGCGGCGTGACCGCTTCGGCGATTATTTGCTGCTGCTGGATCAACAGCAGCAGCTGTGGCTGCGCCGGATCTGCAGCTGCTGCCACGGCGGCAGGGACCCGCAGGTGCAGCAGCTCTTGCTGCTGCTAAGGAACGCCTTTGCCTTCACCTTCTTGAGAGAAGCAGCAGCAGCAACAGCAGCAGCAGCAACAACAACAGTGAATGCAGGAGCCCCAACAGGAGCCGCGACATCAGCAACAGCAGCTACGCCATCGGAGACAGAAGAGGAAGCTGCAGCAGTAGAAGTAGCAAGAGCAGCAGCAGCAGCTGCTGCTTCTAATGGTCATGCGCCCCCTCACGGGTTTCTTATAGAATGCGGGCCAGGCAAGCCGCTGCTGCTGCTGTTGCCCCTAAATGTGGTGCTGGTGTTGCTGCTGCTTGCTTTATTACTGTTACTCCCTCGCCCGTCGTGGTCACTTTTATTGTTGAGTCCCCTTATTCTTTGATGCTGCTGCTGCTATTGCATCTGTGTGCGGTGCTGCTTCCTGATGTCGTCTGACTGCTGCAGCACATAGCTCTTGGGCTGCATAGGGGTTTAGCTTTTGGGGTTTAGGGTTTAGGTTTTGGGGTTTAGGGTTTAGGTTTTGCGGTGCAGGCCAGGGCGCGCGCCACTTCTGCCGTGCTGTTGCTTCTCACGCTCCATGGCTCCCCCCCGTAACCACTTCATTTTCACCGGAATCAGCAGCAGCAGCTGCTGCTGCAGCTGCAGGACAACCAGCAGCAGAAGCAGCCGCCGCAGCAGCACAAGCAACAGCAAAGACAACATGCGGTGAGGTTTGCGGGTCTGCTGAAGGCCGCGGCGTGCATCGCATTCTTCTTGGTGACTACACAACCCGTCTGCTGCCTCCTGTTAACAGCAGTAGCATAGGCAGCAGAGCTGGCAACAGCAGCAGCTGCTTCTGCCGCTACAGGAGGAGCAGCAGCATGTGGGGTCCGGGCCAGGAGCGATCCCCGCGTGCGCAGCCCCTGAAACATCAGCAACAGCAGAAACAGCAGCAACAGCAGCAGCAGTGTGCACCTTCTCAGAGGGCCCCCCTCCGCACCTCTTGTTTCAGGTGCTGCGCTGCGGAGGCCCTCTGCGGCGGCAGCAGCAAGAGTAGCAGCAGCAGCACCAATGGAGCAGCTGCAACAGGTTTGTCGCTGCAGAGCCAACTTGCAGCAGCAATCGCGGAGGCTCGTGCTCGTCAAACGCTGTTCCGAAAGAGTTTGCTGCAGCTTGCCCAGAAGGAGCAGCAGCAGCTGGAGCAGCAGCAGCAGCCACCGCCGGATGAAGAGCCGCTTACGGAACAACAATTGAGTTTGCTGTTGTCTTGTGGTGGGGCAGTTTTTGTTGTGTTGGAGTGCATGCATTTGCTGCTGCAGCTGCAGCCGTCCCACACGAGCAGCAGCAGCAGCAGCAACAACCGGAGAACTGATTTGCGGAGTGTTTTACTGCAGCAGCTGTCGGCGTTTGCTGCCACCTGCAGCAGCGAGGGCCTCCCTGTGTTTGTTTTCGTTCCATTCAACACAGGAGAGGCTGCTGCTGCTGCTGTTGCTGTTTCTGCTGCTCCTCGTGGCCTGCTGCCTCTGCGGCCGCGGCTGGCAGAGCTTGTGGGGCGGGATCTGCTTCAGCCGTATCTCATAGAAGGGGTCTTAACATTGCCTGAGGCACTATCGGAGCAGCATCGAGCAGCAATCTTGCTGCTGCTGCTGCGGCGCGTACACGCAGCTGTAGCTGCAGCAGACAAGGATGAGAACCACATCCAGCGTCTCGCCACGTAAGCTGGCCGCCACAAAAGTACTACTACTGCTGCTGCTGCACCTGCTGCTCCTTCTGCTGCCGCTGGTGCACTTGCCCATGATGTTTCTGTTGCTGCTGTAATGCTCGCTGCTGTTACCTCTGCTGCTGTGCGTGATCTTGCTGCTGCTACAACGTACATGCGGTCTGGTACTGCTGTGGTCTGTGCAGCTGTTGCTGTTGCTCTGGGTACTAGTGCTGTTGCTGTTTGTGCTGCTGCTGCTTTGAATTTGCAGCCTAGGCGGCCTGTGGACCTGCGGCTTCACCGTGGCAGATCTGCGATCTCTGCTGCGCACTGCTGTCACCAACTGCATGCAGCGGCAGCTGTACAGCAGCAGCAGCAGCAAGCTCTGTGCTGCTGATCTGCGACAGGCGCTGCTGTATGTGTGTCCTTCAGCACTGCGGCTGCTGCAGGTGGGCAGCGTACAGCGGCTGTTGCCCCCTTTGGTGGTGCCGCAGGACGCTGAAGCAAGTGAGGTGTTTGCTGCTGCTGCTGCTTCTCCTGCAGCGGAAGGGCGACTCACGTATTTCGCCTACACACGGGGCAGAAACAACAACAGCAGCAGCAACAGCAGCAACAGCAGCAGCAGCGACAGCAGCAGCGACACGAGCACCAGCGACGGGGATAGCCGGCGCGGCGGCGGCGACAGGAACAGCAGCCGCTGCAACAGGAGCCGCTGTTGCTGCGGTTGCTGCTGCTTGAAGACTTTACAGGGTCTAAAGGCTGTCCGAGGCCACCGGCGGCTCATTAGGCTGCTAAAGAGAGAAGTGGTGCAGCCGTTTAAACAGCAAGTGGGAGCAGAACCTGCGGCAGCAGCAGAAGCAGAAACTGTAGCTGCTGCTCCGCTGGGGTGCGTTGTGGAGGGCCCGTCAGGCTCAGGTAAGGCTGCAGCGAAGTTCCTTTCCTTTGGCTACAGCTTCTCTCCTCCCTTTGTCTCCTTGCTGCTGCTGCTGCGCTGCTGTTATGCAGCAGCAGCAGCAAATGCGTTTTCTCACTTGTGTTCTCACCGTACCCTAATCGCACATGCTGCTTATTGCTGCTGTTGCTGTTGGTGTTGCTGTTGCTTCAGGCAAATCATTTTTGTGCAGCTCCCTGGCTGTTGCTGCTGGCGCCGTGTTGCTGCGTCTATCTGCTGCTGATGTGCTGCGCAAGGAGGTTGCTGCAGCAGACAAGCAGCTGCTGGCAGCCTTCTCTACGCTGCGCCGCTGTTTTCCTGCAGTGCTGCTAATCGAAGACATTGATATCCTGTGCAACAGCAACAGCAGCAGCAGCAGCAAGATACTGGGAACGCTGCTGCAGCAGCTCGATGAGCTCGTGCTGCTACGGAGATTCAGCGCAGATGCAACACAGAGGAAGACAGCCCTCAGTGTGCTGCTGCTGGCGACAGCAACTGATGTAACAAAGATTGACACCAGGCTGCTGCTGGTCAGTAACCCTGTGCTGCTCCTGCTGTTGGTGCTGCTGCTGCTGCTGTTGCTGTTGCTAGTGGTCTTGCTTCTGCTAACCTGTAGCTGCAGCGTTAATCATATCGCGGCTATTTTATCGTTTACACGGCTGCTGCTGGTTAGTCGTTTTCTGCATGAAGGTGTTCCTGCTATCGAAGTTGCTGCTTTGCTGCTGCTGCTGTGTCCCTTGTTGCAGCCTGGCCGCCTGAGTTATGTCTTCAGCCTCAACAGCAATTCGCGCAGAGACCCTGCAGCAGCAGCGGCAACGCTGCTGCAGCAGTGCCTCGTGGGCCGCTGCAGCCCGACGATTAGAAAGGCTGATCTGCTGCAGCTGACCCGCTCCCTAATTTCCAACAGCAGGAGCAGCAGCAGCAACAGTAGCGGAGCAGCAGCAACTGCCCCGCGCACCGTGTCTCCGACCTTCTGCGTTTGTCTCTGTCAAGAGGCAGCTGTTGCTGCCGTCAGACGTCAGCAAACGCAGCAGCAACAGCAGCAAAAGGCACAGAAACAGCAACATCAAGGTGTGATGATTGAGCTGTGTGACTTAGTTGAAGGAGCAAAGCGCATGCGTTTGCCGGCATGATGTCAGCAGCAGCAGCGGCAGCAACAGCTGCATCTGCTGCTGCTTCAAGGAAACAGCAGCATACTGCTGCTATGTTTTTAACAACCGCATGGCATTTAGATAGTGCTAGTGGCAGCACCTGCTGCCTGCGCTGCTATTGCTGCGACTGTTGCTGCTGCTGCTGTTGCTGTTGCGTGTGTTGCTGCTGCTACTGATGCTAATGTTGCTACACATGCCTCTTCTGCCGGTGCTTCTGTTGCTGCTGCACGCGTTAGTGCTGCTACCGGTACCGCAGCAGTAGTACCAGAAACGGCAGAAGCAGCGACCTGCAGCAGCAGTTCGCTGCTTCGCCCTTGCTCAGTGTACGCACAGCAACATCTGCTGCGAACAAAGAAACTGCTACGACTGCTGCTGCTGCTGCAACAGAGAGTGCAGGAGCCGCAGTGGCTACTGCAGCACCCGCTACTGCAGCAACACTTCCTGTACAAGGACAAATGCAACAAGCGGCAGCAGCAACAGCAGCAGCGTCAAGTGCGTCTGCAGCCTTTACGCCGCAGAGTGCTCCGCTTGCACCTCCAGCGCTGCGGTGCTGCTGCCTCGCAAAAGGCGTCAAAAGGTTCATCATCATCTGTTGCTGCTGCTGCTTCTGCCTGCTGCTGCTGCAGCAAGCTTGCCAGCTCATGCAGCAAGGCTGCTCCCCTTAACTGCCTCTCAGCAGCTGCAGCTGCAGCTGCAGCAGCAGCTGCTGTATTGGGGTCGCCTCCACCGTTATCTGCGTGGGCGGCGGCGCTGCTGAGTAGGTGTTTGTGCTCAGCAGCAGCAGCAGCTGCTGCGGCTGCTGCAGCAGAAGCAGCAGCATAGCAGCCTGCTATATCCGTCATAATACCCGATATAGGACATACAACAAACCCCACTTCTTCTGCTGCTTCCATGCGCATGCAACGAGAGCCGCAGAAGTGCAGCAAGCCGCTCTCGCTGCAGCGATACATCTCCCCCCCTAATGCCTCAATGCTGCAGCGGCTACCAGAGCATACGTGACCTGCTGCAGCTGCTGTTGCTGCTGTTGCTGCTGTTGGTGATGAAGGGGTGGATGAAGAGGAGTGGCCACCGCGAGCTGTTGTTGTGTCCACAATGGCAGCCACGGGACTCGCAGCAGCAGCAGCAGCTGCTGCTGCTGCAGTTGCTGCTGCTGCTCCCTGTTGGGGCTGCTGGTGGTGCAGATGATCCTGCATTACCTCGCGCTGCGCAATCTGCAAGCGCTGCTGCCGCTGCTGCTGCTGTTGCTGCTGCTGCTGAAGTTGCATTGCTGCTTGCATTTCCAAGAACTGAACAAGAGCCTCATCTATTTCGCCGCTGCTGCTGCTGCTGCTGCTGCTACTGCTGCTGCTCCCATGCCGACGTCTTTTGAATGAGCCGAACCATTGCTGCTGCTTCTGCTGCTCCTGCTGCAGCAGCAAAAGCTGATTCTGTTGCTGCTGCAGCAGCTGCGACCGCAGCTTTTTCCTCTGAGCCTCCTCCTTGCACTGTGCTATGAACGCTTCCCTCGTAGGGTTGTTGCTGCTGCCGCTGCTGCTGCCGCTGCGTCGTGCTGCAGCAGGAGGCCGCAGCACCTGCTGCCACAAGTAGGAGGAAGAGGACAGCAGCCGCAGCTGCTTACATACAAAGGGTAAAGAAACAGCTAACTCTAATGGCGGCAGCAGCTGCAGCACATTCAGCAGCAGCGAATCACTTAAACGCTGCAGCAGCAGACACTCCTGGGCTCCCGTGTTGCTGTTGCTGCTGTTGCTGCTGTCGTTACTACTGCTGTGTCTGTTGTTGTTGCTGCTGCTCCTGAGGCAAACGATACTACTGCAGGCACTGCTGCTGTTGCTGCTGTTAGTGCTGCTGCAGGTACCGCAGCCAAGGCGACCAATGGTGCTGCTGCTGCTGGCTAGGCCATGCTCTGGTTGTCTAACGTCTACTTCCATCATATTCACTGCTGCTGCTGCTGCTGCTGCTGCTGCTGCTGCTACTGCTGCGATGAGTCCTGCAGTTCTAGCCAGTGAGCGTACTGAAGCAGCATCTGCAGCTCCCCAAACCCAGGCCTACTTATCGCAGTGCTGCTACTGTTGCTGCTGCTGCTGCTGCTGCTGCTACGGTTGCTGCTGCATCTCCCCTGTAGCGGAAGACAGCAGGCCCTAAGCATGGGTTAGGTTGCTGGGCGGTTAGCAGTAGCAGCAGCAGCAGCTGCTGCTGCTGCCAATATTCCTAAATTAGGATGTTGCTGCTTGGCTGTTACGGCTGTCCTGCTACTTCGGCTATTCGGCTGCGACAGCAGCAGCAGCAGCAACTGCTGCTGCTGCAGCAGTTGCACGGCGTGGCGCCAGACGAAGGAGGAGGCCGAGAAGAATCCTTCTTGAGGCCGCCTGTTTGTATTATGTCTACTTCTACATCTAATATTAATACACACCTGCAGCAGAAGCAGGTGGTGCTTAGCAACAACAGCAGCAGGGGCGGCGCTGCTGCTCCGCGCATGCGGTGAAGAAGGCCAAGCGACTCGCTTGGTCGTTGCTGCTGTCGCTGCTATTGCTGCTGCTCCTGTTTGTCTAGAACAGCAGCAGCAGCAGCAGAAGTTGTCTTCTTAGTATAATAAGCGAAACAAACAGTTTCCATTCATTAATGGTTGTGTGGGGAGGCAGCAAATTATCAGCAGCCGCAGCACGAGGGGCCCGCCTCTAGCGCGGCAGCAGCAGCGGAAGCAGCATTACCAGCAGCAGCAGCAGCAGCAGCAGCTGCTGCTGCTGCTGCTGCTGCTCTGCTGACGGGTCGAACAGGAGATGTGTGTTAGCTGTCTTTAACGAAAGAACATAAAAGGAACTATAAGTGATCTGAAGCAGTAGAAGTACCATTTATAGCAGCAACAACAGCAGCAGCAAGAGTATCAGCAGCAGCAGCAGCAGCAGCAGCAGCAGCACGGCGAGCGTGTATGGTATATATGGTGCTCCCTCTCCTCCACACACAGCAGCACGACGCTGACCGGCAGCAACGGCTGCCGCCGCCTCATGCATGAGCAGCCTGTGGCGGCTGTGTTGGATAATAAAGAGTAGAAAGAAAAAGAAAAGGAGGTGAAGGAGGAGGAGAATTATAATAATAATAAATTATTTAATAAAATAATAAAAGAAAATGAAGGATTTTGCATATTTTTTTCTTCCTTTTGGGGGTATATTAGTATTTTTATTGATATTTATACCTACACCAAGAGTCCATCGTGCATGCGTATATATTTGCTGCCTACACCTAAAATTAGGATTTATACAAATAGGTGTTGCTGCATGCATATGTTTATATTCATTTATTCGTTTATTAATAACATCATTAAAATTACGTGAGGTATATGCAGCAGCAGCAGCAGCAGCAGCAGCAAATAGACCATTATCATCAACATCTTATTATAATTCATCATCCAATCAACATGGACAGGATCCAAGTGCAGCAGCAGCATCAGCAGCAGCAGCAGCAGCAGCAGCTGCAGCAGGATTCCCTATTAAAGGTAGCAGCAGCTACCAATTAAGACACGAACGTAATCTATGGATAGAATTATTCTGTCTTGTTTTGTGGTTATTTCTATGGAGAACTTCGCGCCTATTAAATAAAAATTGGCAACAAATACAAAAACTTAAGGAAGAAATTGTTGCACTTAAGCAGCAACAAAATAAACAACAATCTCCTGCTGCTGCTCCTGCTGCTGCTGCTCCTGTTCCTGCTGCTCCTATTGGTGCTGCTGCTAGTGGTGGTAGTGGTGCAGCGGATGCAGCAAAAGGGAAACTAGATGGAGCTGACAGGTACAACTGAATGTACATTTGGTGGATTCAATAGCAGCAGCAATAGCAGCAGCAGCAGCAGCAGCAGCAGCAGCAGCAGTTGTTGTTGTTCTTGTTAGTCTGCGCATACACCAGCAGCATCTGGGTGTCTGTCTTCGTGTCTTTTTGTGTATTTATTTGTATATTGCCTATGCAGTGCTGCTGTTGCTGCTGTTGCTGCTGTTGCTGCTGTTGCTGCTGTTGCTGCTGTTAGTGCAAATATTGCTGCTGTTGCTGCTGCTCCTTTTGCTGCTGCTGTTTGTGCTGTTGCTGCTGTCGCAGCTGACTCGTGATCTGTTTGTTTGTATTTTAATTTATTTAATTCATTTATTTATTTAATTAGTTAATTTATTATTTACTTATTTATTTATTTATTTATTTATTTATGTGTTTATTTACTTTCTTTCTTTGTTGCTGTTTATAGGGAAGGAGGGATAGAGATGATGCGGCTGCGCAAGCAACATCAGCAGCACCAAGACAGCGATTAGAGGCATGCAACAGCAACAGAAGCAGCAGCAGCAACAGCAGCAGCAGCAACAGCAGCAGCAGCAACAACAGCAGCAGCAGCAGCAGCACTAGCTGTGACAAGACGGCGATTATCAGTCTGCAGCTGCTGCAGCAACAGCTGCAGCAACAGCTGCAGCAACAGCTGCAGCAACAGCAGCTGCAGCAACAGCAGCAGCAGCAGCAGCAACAACAACAACAGCAGCACACATGTACAGCGTATTGTTTGTTGTCTTTCTTCGCATCTCTCCCTTCCTTTGATTTTGCTGCAGCGAGTTGGCCTTCAACAGCAGCAGCAACAGCAGCAGCAGCAGCAGTTGCTGCTGCTGATTCTGGCACTGTTGCAGCAGATCATACCAGGTAAAATATCCGCTTAGCCCAGGTGCAGCAACTGCTGCTGCTGCTTATGCTGCAGCAGCAGCACTTGCTGCAATTGCAGCAGCAGCAGCAGCAGCAGCAGCAAATGGAGCACCCTGGGAAGACAGCAGGAAGGAATGGGGGAGTTGCTGTTGAGTTGAATTTCTTTTGCTGGTAGCAGAAGCAGCGTGGGAGGCAGCTGCAGCAGCAGCAGCAGCAACAGCAACAACAACAGCAGCAGCAGCGACAGCAACAGCAGCACACCTGCTCCTGCTGCTCCTGCTGCTGCTGCTGCAATCTTCTGTTCTTTGCTGCAGCATCGAGAGCAGCACAATGATAACTAAATGTTTAAATGAATAAAAGATTTAAATAGAGCTGTCTGTACACCCCAAGCTGCCTATACACCTGAAGACAGCATGCATGCAGCATATATACCTGCCTATACACCCCAAGCTGCCTATACACCTAAATTACTGCTTCTTTTCTTCCTCTTCTTATTACTCAGCCACGATAGACTTTAGGGTGTATATTGGAGTAGTTGAGGTGTATCTGCAGCTGCTTCCTGCTGCAGCAACAGCTGATTCCTGCTGCAGCAATAGCTGATTCCAGCTGCAGCAGCAGCTGCCTGCTGCTGCAGCAGTCACTTTTCTGCAGCAGTTTTCTGCTGCTTGCTAAATAAGAGGGACTATCTACATAGTGCAGATTATATATTATATATACATATATTGTTATGTATATTATGTACTATTTATTACATATAATATATAAAATATACGTATAATATACATAATATATATATTATATATTATATACATAATATATATAAATATATAATATACATAATATATAATATGTATATATATGTATATGTATATACATATATGTATATATATGTATATATATGTATATATATGTATATATATGTATATATATGTATATATATGTATATATATGTATATACATATATATGTGTATATGCATATATATGTATATATATGTATATATATGTACATAATGTATACAGTGTTTATGTTTACTTGGTGCCTGATGGATATATCTAATGTACTTTTTTGTTTTATTTATTTTATTTATAAATAAAATAATTTGTATATTTATATTTATTAATTAAATCAACAATTTCTTCATAAGAAGGACAGTTTGCTGCTGCTGCTGCTGCTGCTAATACTGCTGCTATTGCTGCTCTACAGTAGATACCCGAGCCCAGCAGCAGCAGCAGCAGCACGAAAGAGCAGCAGCAAAAACTAGAATAAATATACACATTTTGTGTGTCTGGTTATTTCTGCTGCTGCTGCTGTATTTGCTGCAGCAGCAGCAGCAGTACATGCTGCTCTTGCTGCTGGGGCCCCACGCTTGGGGCTGCTGCAAATCAGCGGGAGGCTGCTGCTGCTGCTGTGGGGCCGTTGCTGTCTTTTTTTTCTTTTTATTATTTTATTTATAAATAATAAATAAATAAATATAATCATTAATAGCAGCAAAGAAGTAATAATAAAGGAGAAAAAGAACGAGCAGCAGATCAGGACAGCTGCCGCAGCAGCCACAACACAGAAGAACACTGCTGTTGCTGCTGCTGCAGCTGCTGTTGCTGCTTGTAGTGGTGGAGGCGAGACACAGCAACAGGGAATAGGAGAAAGTACGAGCAGAAGGCAGTCAACAAGCCCGCAGCAGCAGCAGAAGTGAGCCAGCTGCAGCAGCAGCAGCAGCAGCAGCAGCAGCAGCAGAAGGGAGGTAACAGCATTAGCTGTATAATAGCTGTTACCAATGTTCCTTTGTTGGTTCATCTCTCTGCTGCTTCTAGAGCAACATAATCCCTATTAGCAGCAGCAGCAGCAGCAGCAGCAGCAGGAGCAGCACTCCTCCTACCAGCAGCAGCAGCAGCAGCAGCAGCAGCAGGGCAATTGACGATGGGTGAGTTAATAGAGAGCCGTTTAGAGGAATGGGCAGGTGAGCTGCTGCGTCAGCAGAAGCTGCAGCTGCTGCAGCAGCAGGAAGTGCATGCAGTAGTACAGCGGCGTCGTGAATATGAATATAATATATCAGCAAGACGCGATTTACCTGCTGCTCTTTTCTTACGTTATATTTCTTATGAATTATCTCTTTATTGTCTTATAAGAAAAAGAAGTAAATTAAGATTGCTGCTGCTGCAGCAGCAGCTGCAGCAGCAACGAAAACAGCAGCGCGAAAAAGCTGCAGCAGCAGCACGTTCACGTAATAAAATTAAAGGCAAAAAAAACAACAGCAGCATCAGCAGCAGCAGCAGCAGCAGCAGCAAGACACAGAAGAAATATGATTCCTTAAGGAGCAGCAGGGTGCTGTTCCTTGCTGCAGCAACAAAAAGAATTATGCTTATATTTAGGAGATTGCTGCAGCGTCATGCTGCTGATGTATCCCTATGGTTTTGTTATATAGATGTGCTGCTGCAGCTAGGAGCAACAAAGGCTGTGCTGCAGCAGCTAATGCATGCATTAGCTGTACATCCTCATTGCAGCAGCTTATGGTTATTAGCAGCAGATCGATTGCTGCAGCAAGGAGAAGCAGCAGCAGCAAGACGTCTGCTGCTGCTCGCCCTCCGCTTCTGCTCACAGGAGGCAGCAGTATGGACACAGCTGCTGCGTCTTGAGGCATCTGTTGTTTATAGGCTTTGTGCTGCTAGGCTAGCTAAGGCAAAACCTGCTGCTGCTGCTGCTGCTGCTGTTGCTGGTGGTGCTGGTGCTGCTCTTGCTGCTCCGGAAGAAGGCCGCCCTGATGGCGCCGAGGATGCAGCAGCAGCAGACAGCGAAGAAGAAGATCCAGACACCCTTAAGCTGCCGAAGATCAACAACAGCAGCAGCAGCAGCAGCAACAGCAGCAGCAGCAGCAGCAGCAGCAGCAATGTAAACATGGCAGCGCAGATGGCAGTTGAGACAAAGACGCTTCCTGTGTCGCTGCAGCCGTGTAAACTTGTTGTTGCTGCAGCAGCAGAACGCCTATCTGGTGCTGCAGCAGCAGATACCACAGCAGCAGCAACCAGCAGCAGGAGCAGCAGCAGCAGCAGCGTTATGAAGAGTAGTGACACAACAGAAAGGGATTCTTTCTTGCTGCAGGCATTCGAGCTGTCGCTGCAGCTAGAAGCAAGTGCAGCGCAGCAGCTGCTGCAGCAGGAAACAGCAGACCTACAGCAGCAGCTGTCTGTACAGCTGACACAGGCAGCGCCTCAGCAGCCGCTCTTTGAGGCCCTGCGGTGGAAGTTGCTGCTGCTAGAGGCAGTGCAGCAACAGCAGCAGCAGCAGCAGCAGCTTGAAGAACAGGAGGAGGAGCAGCAGCAGCAGAATAGTGTAATGGATTGCCTAGAGGCAATCTTCGCAGCAGCTGCCGATACACCTCAAACTGCTGTGCTGCTGGGCCCCTTCCTCGGTACCTTACAGGCAACTGACAGCAGCAGCAACAGCAGCAGCGACAGCAGCAGCAGTAGCAGCAGCAGCAGCAGCAATTGGTTTGATTCCCTCGAGGTGGTAATTGATGTAGAAGGCGAGGATACGCCCATAACCCTCCATGACGGCACGGAGCTGATGCAGCAGCAGCAGCAAAAGGAGCAGCAAGAGCAGCAGCAAGAGGAGCAGCAGCAGCAGCAGGATGAAGAGGAGGGGGAAGAAGGGTGGGCTAGACTAGCTGTACAGACACTGCAGAAGAACGGATTCCCTCAAGCAGCAAAGCTGCTGCAGCTGCATCCAGCAGTCTTGGCAGTTTGCTGCCTACAGCCTAGCAGCAGCAGCAGCAGCAGCAGCAGCGACACCAGCAGCAGCGACACCAGCAGCCTGCAGCTGCTTGCTGATCCGGCCAGTCTCCAGCAGCAGGCTGAAATTATCTGGCAGGCCATTTGGCACCCCACTGAGCAGCAGCAGCAGCAGCAGCAGCAACTGCAGCAGCAGCAGAGGATCCGACTTCTAGGCCTGCTGCAGCAGGTGCTGCACACTGTCCTAGACAAACTAAACAAAGCAGAGCAGCAGCTGCAGAGCAAACGCAGCAGCAGCAACAACAGCAGCAACAGCAGCAACAGCAGCAGTACCCCAGAGGCAGCAGCGGAGCTGCGGAAGGAAGCAGCAGCAACTCTTGATGCTGCAGCAGACGCATGCTTGCTGCAGCAGAGTGTTGACTCCTTAGCAACAATGCTACAGATCCTTGCTGTTTCTGCTGCTGCTGCAGCAGATGCTGCGGAGAAGCAGCACCTGCTGCAGCAAGCAGCAGAAACGCTGCAGCGCGCGGTGTCTGTACACCCCAGCGCTAGCACAGCCCTTGGCCTGCATTTGGTTAAGTCCGAAATTGCTGGCAGCAGCAGCAGCAGCAGCAACAGCAGCAGCAGCAGCAAGAGTCTGCTATCGCTGCTCAACCGCATGCAGACCTCCAGCATTTCTGCTGCGGAAGGAAAGCGTCTCGCTGCTGCCCTCATTGAAGGCACATCAGCAGCACCGGCAGGTGCAGCAGCAGCAGCAGCAGCAGCAGCAGCTAGCTGGCTTCCGCAGCTGGTGAAGGCGCTGCAGCCAATTGCAGTGCGGCCTGTTGTCACTGCGTTGCTGCAGCAACTCTGTGACCTGCAGCAGCAGCAGCAGCAGCAGTTGGAGCTGGAAGCAAAAGCCCACAAGCCGGCAGCAAAACGCATGCGGACAATAGAAAAGAATGGCAGCAACAAAAGCAGCAGCAGCAACAGCAGCAGCAGCAGCAGCAGTGAAGTCTGTGCAGCTGTTGCATTGGCGCTGCTGCATAAGCACAGCAGCAGCAGCAGCAGCAGCAGCAGCAGCAGCAACTTAAAGCTGCCAGTATCAGCACGTTTGCAGCTGCCTCTCGTTATAGCGGACTTTGCTTTGCTGCATATGGAGTTGCTGCTGCAGGAGAAGCTGCAGCAGCTGCAGCAGCCGCAGCGGCAGCTTTCAAGACAAGAGCAGCAGCTGCTGCAGCAACAGGCGCGCCTCTTGCTGCAGCAGATCGGGGATGTATACGAACGGGCAGTAGCAGCTATAAGCAACAATGGCCTCCGTCTTGATGCTGCAGCAGAGCAGCAGGAAGGGCTCTCTGTGCATCGATATGTGCAGCAGCAGCAGCAGCAGCGGCAGCAGCTGCAGCAGCTGCTGCTAGAGCAGCTGCCAGAGGCACAATCGCTGCAGCAGCAATGGATAGAAGAAGCTGTTCGCTTCCTTAGATACCGAGACTCCTTGGATCTTATCCTGCCTCCAAGCAGCAGCAGCAGCAGCAGCAGCAGCAGCAGGTGTATATACACCGCAGATGCTGCTTCTCTGTATCATAAGGCCTCGCGCCTTGTTGCTGATGCAGCAGGATTTGCGCAGCGGCTGTCTTATGGCTGTGCTGCAGCAGCAAAAGGGACAAGCAGCAGCAGCAGCAACTGCAGCAGCTGCCCAGTAGGGGCAAGGTGGTGCAGATACAGCAACAGCAACAGCAGCAGCAGCAACTAATGCAACATTTGGTTGCATTCTGCTGCTGCTGCTGCTGCTGCTGCTGCTGCTGTTTTTCTTCTATTTGCTGCATTGCTTTTTATGTTTTTCCGCTCTGATTTTTAACTTTAAAGGAATAATTAATTAATTAATTAATTAATTAATTAATTAATTAATTAATTAATTAATTAATTAAACTAATTAATAATTAATTAATTAATAATAAATAAAATAAATAAATCTGAATAAATAAATGATTTAATTAACACATAAAAATAATAGCAGCGCAGATAGACAAGTAAGGAAGCAAACAAATTAAATTAAATTAGTTAAATTAAATTAAATTAATTAAATTAAATTAATTAAATTAAATTAAATTAAATTAATTAAATTAAATTAACTAAATTAATTAAATAAATTAAATAAATAAGCAACAAATAAAAAGAGCCTCTTATAGGCAACAGAAGGCGCAAGAAGGCAGTAGGGGGGATGCATAGACCATATAGGGTGCTAGTGTGTATGTACCCGTGTATATACACCATTAAAAAGGAGGAAATAAATTAAATAATAAATAAAATAAATAAATAAAAATAAAATAAAATAAAATAAACAAAAAATAGCGTAAAAAGAAAGGTATAAATAGCCACCGCTGCATGCAACAATCGGGCTGACAAGAGAGGAGGAAGAATAAAAAGATGTTTTTCTTTGGGGGTGCAGATTTATTTTTTTTTCTTTTTATTACTTTTAATTAATTTATTTTTATATTTAATTACTTTTTTAACGTACGTGGGGATGGGGTGTACATACACCGCAGTTGTAGCAGGGAAAATGGCATTATATTAAGAAAGAAAGAGCCTAGGGGGGGAAGGGGGGTGGCGTTTTTAGCTGCTGCTGCTCCTGCTGCTGCTGCTCCTTTTTTATGTATTTGTTTGTTCTTCTTTGCCTGTTAATTTAACCCCTATTAATCACTTGTTTCAGTCCACACGCGCGCTGCAGCAGGAACGCCTGTCGCTGATGCTCCTGCTGCTGTTGCTGCAGCGGCTGTATCTTCTCTGCTGTTGCTGCTGTGCTGTCTATACACCTCAGGTTGATTGAGGTATTCGCAAATGAGCGAAACAGCTGAGCAGCAGCAGCAGCAGCAGCACGAGAAGGTTCCTGCTGGTAGTGTTGCTGCTGCTGTTGCTCGTGGTTGTATAGGAAAGCCTAAGGAAGAATGTACAGCAGAGTTTGCTTATTCCTTGGTGCAGCAAAAGTTTAATTTATCAGCAGCAGCAGCAGAAGAACTGCAGCAACTGAGACAACTTGCTGAGAGAGTTGTTAAGGAAGTTGTACGCATGCACTAATGCAGCAGCAGCAGCTGCTCCTCTCTACCCAGCACGAACAACAGCAGCAGCAACAACAGCAGCAGCAACAACAATAGCAGCAGCAACAACAGCAGCGACAGCGTAGCAGCAGCACCAACATCAGCAGCAGCAGCAACTCGTCACTGCAACATACCAACACCAACTGATGCAGCATTACCAGCAGCGCTAACACCAACACTAACACCATCAGCAACACGAGCAAGAGCAGCAGCAGCAACAGCAGCAACAGCAGCAACAGCAGCAGCAGCAGATGTGTGGTTTTTTTTCTTCAGGTTTGCCCTGCATCGTCTGCAGAGGAGATCGAAGCATTCGCAGCAAAAGCGATGAACCAAAAACAGTGCGTTGCAGCAGCAGCAGCAGCAGCAGCAGCAGCAGCAGCAGCAGCACACTGCAGCAGCAAACCGCAGCAGCAAACAGCAGGAGAGAACTATAGCACCAAACTGCAGCAACAAGTTTCCAGCAGCAGCAGCAGCAGCAGAGAGCAGCACTTTGCTGCAGTTGCAATGGCATTATACACCACCATACCGCTGCATTTGCTGCTGCTGCTGCTGCATGTGCTGCTGCTGTTTTGCTGCTGCTGCTGTTTTTGTTTGATTGCAGTCCCTTCGATGAAGTGGCGGTTAGTACTAAAAAGTTCCCAATTGCTGCTGCTGCCGCAGTTGCTGCTGCTGCAGTTGCTGCTGCCGCAGGTGCTGTTGCTGCAGGAGCTTTAGGGTTTAGGGTTTAGGGTTTAGGGTTTGGGGTTTGGTGTTTTATCAGGGAGGAGGAGGAGACAGCTGTATTCCTGTTGCAGCAAAAGCAGAGCTGCAGGCAGCTGTTAAAGCTTTAGGGATGGGGTAAGTGCTGCTGCTGCTGCTGCTGCTGCTGCTGCTTCTGTTGCTGCTGCTGCTGCAGGCGTTGTGTAATTGCTGGTGTTCCTATTGCAGCTGTTATTGGTGCTGCAGCTGTTGCTGCTATTGTTGCTGCTGCAGCTGTTGCTGCTGCTGCTGTTGTTTGTTCTCCTATTCAGGCCTGCAGCTTACAGGGGTCTATCTAAGGACGACCCTGATGCCTACTGCAAGGTATGCTTACGAGGGTTTAGGGTTTAGGGTTTAGGGTTTAGGGTTTTAGATCCAGGGTTTAGGCGGGGGTTGTGGGGTGACGAATTTAGGGTTTAACTTTCTGTATAGGGTTTAGGGTTTAGGGTTTAGAGTTCTAAGGGTTTAGGGTCTGCATAGTGTAGGTTATCAGGGTTTAGGGTTTAGGGTTTAGGGTTTAGGGTTTAGGGTTTGTGGGGTATATGCAGGAACTTCAATCTCGCGTGTTATCATTTATAGAGAATAATTTAGGGGAGTCATGGAAGTCTTTGCCACCCCCTGATAAGGTTCGCCTCCTAAACCCTAAACCCTAAACCCTAATTTTTTTCTACAGTCTTCTTCATTGCTGCTGCTGCAGCGCCTTCATACTCCCTTATAGTAGAAATCAAGGGGCAGCGGAGAAGGGCTTCTTTTTAGGGTTTTGCTGCTTGGGGTGTACAAGGGTTTAGGGTTTATTGGGGTTTATTCAAGTTTAGGGTTTAAGGGTTTAGGGTTTAGGGTTTAGGGTTTAGGGTTTATGGCTTGTGCGAGCAGCTTGATGAGCTGAAGTTGGCAGCGGAGGCAAGGAAGGAATTGTCGTCATTGGATGCCTCCAACATTATCGTGGGTTTAGGGTTTAGGGTTTAGGGTTTTAGGGTTTAGGGTTTAGGGTTTATGTGTTTTTGTATAGACATTGAGTATCAATTGTGGAGGTCAATGCAGCAGCCGTTGTTTGTCGCATTTGCTCTCCTTTTCTGCCGGTCTTAGCACTCTAGGGTTTAGGGTTTTAGGGTTTTAGGGTTTAGGGTTTAGGGTTTAGGGTTTGCTGCGTGTTTGGCGCAGGAAGGTCGACCTCGTCGTCGCGCGGCGTCTTCTGCAGCGGTGCGTTGTTTGTAGCATTTAGGGTTTAGGGTTTATGAGGGATTAGCATGATATAGGGTTTAGGGTTTAGTATTATTTTTAAGGGTTTAGGGTTTAGGGTTTAGGGTTTATGCTATAGGAGGCAATAAGGAGAGACTTAGAGAGGGAGGCAGCACAGGCGGCATCGTTGCCTCAATCTAAGAGAATGAAGACGAAGGGGGAGGCGCTTGAGGCCGGTGGTGCTGCAGCTCGTAGTGGAAAGAACAGCAGCAGCAGCAGCAGCAGCAGCAGCAGCAGTAATAATAATAATATAATAAATAGTAATGGTGCAGGGGATTCAAAAGAACAAGAAGAAGAAGAAGATGATGATGATGATGACGAGGAAGAAGAAGAAGATGATGACGAAGAAGAAAAGGATGATGATGATGATGATGATGATGATGATGATAGCAGCAGCACAGGAGATTCAGAGGATGCAGGAGATGATGAAGAAGGAGAAGAAGAAGAAGGAGAAGGAGAAGGAGGTGATGGAGGTGATGGAGGAGAATAAATATTTATTTATTTATTTTATTTAATTTATTTTATTATTTTTTATTATTGTGCTATATTTATACACAATAATATATATATATATTTATTTATATATTTATCCTAATTGGCTTTCTTATTATATACATTATAAACAACAAACAATTCCTTTTTTCTCCTTTTCCTTTATACTAACATATCCTTTATCCAGTCATCTAGGGTTTAGGGTTTAGGGTTTAGGGTTTTGCGTTAGATGTATGGGGTTTAGGGTTTAGGGTTTAGGGTTTAGGGTTTAGGGTTTAAGTAGGTCTACCTAATGGTCTGCTGCTGCTGTTTAGATACATGTTTATAAATAGTAAATTGTGTATAATAATTTATATAAAAAGATGAATTAGGGCTACGGATATGATGGAGACACAGCCCTTCTTCTTTTTTATTTTATTTATTTTATTTATTTTATTTATTTTATTTATTTTATTTATTTTATTTATTTTATTATTGTATCGTCCTTTCTATTTATTCTCTTCGTTAAACTTCTCCTGCGGATGCCGTCTGCTGGACATGCAGAGCATCTTTTCTTCTTGTGCGTTTACTATAAATGGAGAAAAAAATAAAATAAAATAAATTATTGATATTTTATTAAAATAAACAAAGATAATATAATTTTAGAGGGAAAACACATAAAAATTATTGAGGCTGCTGCTGCCGATCTGTTACAGGACCGTTGGTTGTTCTGCATCTTTTGTTGCAAAAGGGAGTTAAACCATAGAAATTTCGCGCATTTTTGCATTTTTATTTTATTTTTTATTAAATAAAACATGAAAAAACATCATTAACAGGGAAAGGGCTACAAATAAGCACACGAAACGAGGGAATGGTCCGAGCGCCTGATAGCACGGCGAGACGGCTGCAGCAGCAGCAGCGGCAGCACTGGTTAAGAGCTTACATTTGTGTGTTCTTTACCTGTTATTGTTGAAATATTTTATTGAATAAATAAATAAAAATAAATAAAGCTATTTACATTTATTTTATTCCTTTTGTGTTGCATAATAATGCTGGAAACCGTCATGCACGGTAGCAATGCAGCTAGGGGGGTCCTTGTTGCAGCGGGCCCTATTGTATGTTAGAAGGAAAATGATGACTATTCAAGGGCTTTTTTTGTCCTTTTTATATATTGAATGAATAAATTGAATAAAACAACTGATATTTTTATGTTTTTTTCTCTTTTATCCTTTTTATCCCTATGAGCAGGTTGGGTGACGAGTGGTTAGGAGCAGGCGCTCTCTATACCCATAGATAAGTATAAGGACGGTGTGGTGAATGGGGGCTAAAGCCCGTGCAAATTTGTTGGGTTTTGTTTAGGTTTTCTTTCCTTTTATGGTTTATGTTATTAATATTCTTAATAAGGTTCTTTTTGAGGGAATAAGCCGGGAAAAAAGCAGCAGCAAGAGGCGCCGCTGCCGCCATGCACGGCACAAAGTTTATTGTAAGGGGGCTGTTAACAGTTCTTTCTTTTCTTGTTTTTTCTTCTGTTGCTGCAGGTATTTTATTTTATTTCTTGCAAAAAAAGGCAAAAGCTGCTGTTGCAGCAAAGGGAAATGCCTTTGCTGCTACAGGAGATCCTTGTACTCCCCTCCCTCATTTATCTACAGACAAAAAAAGAAAAAGATGTTCTCCCCCTCTTATTTGCAGTGTACAGACACCTCAAGATACACAAGGTTATCCTTTTTACCCCTTTATTATTATTATTACTATTATTCCTTTCCCTTGCCCTTATAGACCACTGGTCTCTTACTGCTCTTGCTTGCCCTGCTGCGCTTGTTGCTGCAGTTGTTGCTGCTACTGTTGCTGCTCTTCTTGCTGTTACTGTTGCCGCTCTTGTTGTTGCTTTTGCTGATGTTTTTGCTGCTGCTCTTGCTGCTGCTGCTGCTGCTGCTGCTGCTGCTGCTGTTGCTTCTTTTATTGCTGCAGCTACTATTACTGTTGCAATATATTCTATTGAGAAGAGCTATACAATAATATCTTTATAAAATTCATTAAATAACTAAGTAATTAATTAAATTAATTAATTAATTAATTAAATTAATTAATATTTATATGAATTTATATATGTATATATATTATATGTATATTTGTTTGTATATATGTACAGGCATTTGTTTATACCCAGGTCGTTCCCGTGTTGGTTCCTCCTGTTTTTCTTCTTCTTTTCTTTGTCAGAGAGGACTCCTTTGTTCTCCAATTACTTTTACTTGTCTCCCTCCTCCTAAGGGATTAGGAGACACTTGTGACCCCACAGAAGCTGCTGCATGCGGCCTCTTGCGGTGTATGCTCAGTACCGATAGTCAGAAAGATACGAGCAGCAGCAGCAGCAGCAGCAGCAGCAACAGCAGCAACAGCAGTCAAAATAGCCTCAGTCGTTTTTCCAGTGACACAAGAGATCAGCAGCAGCAGCAACAAACCCACGCAGCTGCAGCAGCAACACCAACCGACATACACACACCCAACTCTGCGCTGCTGCAGCTGCAGCAACAGCCACCGCAGCAGCAGCAGCACCGAATAAGGTCCTTGAGTTCTGTTCCTGCAGCAGCGATAAGCAGCAGCAGCAGCAGCAGCTCGTTTGGCTTGTCTGCTGTGCAGCACGTTTGCGTCTTTGCTGCTGGAGTGGATGGCGACAGCTGCAGCGCCACACACCGCTGCAGCAGCAGCTGCAGCAGCTGCATCAATGGCATCTGCCGCTCTCTCCTGCCCCACACAAACATTATAAAAGAAAATACAATCCTTACAAGCAACAGTCCTCTTCCTCTTCCTTCTTCAGCTGTTGGTGCTGTTGTTGCTGCTCCTGCAGGTGCCACTGTTACTGCGTCTGCTGCTGCACCTGCAGCAGCAGCGGCAGCAACCACAGATTCACTCAGGCACCTCCAGCAAAAGAGCAAACGGCAGCAACAGCGGCAGCAGCAGCAGCTGCTGCCGCAGATTTCTGATGAATTGAAGGAGAGGAAGCGTTCGGCCTTACAGCTGTTACGGGAGCTGCGAACAGCAGAAACAGCAGCAGCAGCGGCAGCAGCAGCAGCCGGGGGAGAGGCAGGATTATTTGATTTGTTTAGTGGTTCTGTTGGATCCAAGACATTAGCAGAGCTGCGGCTGGATGCAATTAATAGCAACGACAGAACAACAGCAGCAGCAGCAGCAGCAGCTGCTGCTGCTGCTGCTGCTGCGGGAGTCTCTCCTGCAGCAATGCAGATAAAGGCATTAGCACACACTAATAAACACAAGCCGTCTCATAGGACTCGCCCTCTTTATCCAACGCATGCATTTGGTCTTCTATGCCTTCCTGCTGCAGCAGACAGTCCATTGGGGCTGCCATGGACTGCTTCTTTTTGTCCGCAGCAACACACATCAGTTGCAGCAACAAAAAGGCACTCAACAACGCAGCAAGCATTGAAGCGATCCCGCCAATACATAATCACCAGCAGCAACGACACCAACAGCAGCAGCAGGGATAGCAACAGCAACAAGGGCGACAACAGTACCAGCAGCAACAGCAACACAAGCAGCAAAACCACCATCAACATCATCACCGCCGACAGCAGCAGCAGCAGCAGCAGCAGCGAAAGTTTGGATGGCCTGTCTGCGTCCTCTATTCCTGTTGAAAGCAATAATGGAGGAAACAGCATTCTGCTGCTGCCGCCGCTGGGGACCGACGTGAGGGTTGTGCCGTTGCAGCAGGTGCCAGCAGCATCTGCTGCCAGTGCTGCAGCAAACCAAAATGTGGTGCTGCTGCACCAGCAGCAAGAAGCCAATGCCAGCAGCGGCAGCTACGGATCAACCTCCAAGCAGCAACAACAACCGCAGCAGCAACTGGTGCTACGCATACATCCACAGCAGAACAATCTCCTACAACAAACCCCACAGCAGCAACAGCTGGTGCTCACACAGCCGCAGCAGCAAGAGTTACTGCAACAGAACCCGCACGAGCACCAGCTACTGCTCACACAACCGCAGCAGCAACAGCTGCTGCTCACGCAGCGGCAGCAGCAGGAGCTACTGCTCACACAGCCGCAGCAGCAGGAGTTACTGCAGCAAACACCGCATGAGCACCAGCTACTGTTCACACAACCGCAGCAGCAAGAGCTACTGCTCACACAACCGCAGCAGCAACAGCTGCTGCTCACACAACCGCAGCAGCAACAGCTGCTGCTCACAAAACCGCAGCAGCAACAGCTGCTGCTCACACAGCCGCAGCAGCAAGAGGTACCGCAACAATCCCCGCAAGAGCACCAGCTACTGCTCACGCAACCGCAGCAGCAAGAGTTACTGCTGCTCACACAACCGCAGCAGCAAGAGCTGCTGCTCACACAGCCGCAGCAGCAAGAGGTACTGCAACAGGCCCCGCATGAGCACCAGCTACTGCTCACGCAACCGCAGCAGCAAGAGTTACTGCTGCTCACACAGCCGCAGCAGCAACAGCTGCGGCTCACACAGCCCCAGCAGCAAGAGTTGTTGCAACAGACCCCGCATGAGTACCAGCTACTGCTCACGCAACCGCAGCAGCAAGAGTTACTGCTGCTCACACAGCCGCAGCAGCAACAGCTGCTGCTCACACAGCCGCAGCAGCAAGAGTTACTGGTCACACAGCCGCAGCAGCAAGAGTTACTGGTCACACAACCGCAGCAGCAACAGCTGCTGCTCACACAGCCGCAGCAGCAAGAGTTACTGCAACAGACCCCGAATGACCACCAGTTACTGCTCACGCAGCCGCAGCAGCAACAGCTGCTGCTCACACAGCCGCAGCAGCAAGAGTTACTGCTGCTCACACAGCCGCAGCAGCAAGAGTTGTTGCAACAGACCCCGCATGAGCACCAGCTACTGCTCACGCAACCGCAGCAGCAACAGTTGCTGCTCATACAGCGGCAGCAGCAAGAGTTACTGCAACAGGCCCCGAGTGACCACCAGTTACTGCTCACACAGCCGCAGCAGCAACAGTTGCTGCTCACACAGCCGCAGCAGCAAACGTTGGTGCTACAAGCCCCAAACGACCACCAGCTACTGCTTACGCAACCGCAGCAGCACCAGGTAGTGCAACAGACCCCGCAGAAGCAACAGCTAGTGCTCGTACGGCCGCAGCAGCAGCAAACACCACAGCAGCACCAGCAGCTGCTCACGCAGCCGCAGCAAAAAACGCTCGTGCAGCAAACCCAACAGCAGCAGCAACTGGCGGTCACACAACCGCAACAGGAAACGTTGCAGCAACAATCCCCCCCAAAGCAGCAGCTGCTGCCCACACAGCCGCAGCAGCAAACATCGCAGCAGCAAACATCGCAGCAGCAAACATTGCAGCAACAAACCCCACAGCAGCAACAGGTGCTGATCGCACAGCCCCAACAGAAACTTGAGAAGCAGCAACAGCTGCAGCAGACACAGACACACGAGCCAGTGCTGCTGGCGCAAAACTCAAAGCAGCAGGTGCAGCAAGTGCAGCAGCAGCAGCAGCAGCAGCCGCAAGAGCTGCTCCTGCAGCAGAAGCCGACGAAGGAGCAAACGCTGCTGCAACAAATCCCCGGAGACAAGCAACAGCTGGTGCAGATGCCAGTGCAGCAACAGCAGCAACCTCTGCAAGAGCTGCCTCTGGGGAAGGAAAAAGTGCTGCTGGTAGAAGAAAACCCACAAAAGCAGCAGCAACAGTTGCAGCAGCAACAACAGTTGCAGCAGCAACAACAGTTGCAGCAGCAGCAGCTTTCGAAGCTCCATCCAGCACCGATGGAACAGCAGCAACCGCTGATGCTGACGCAGCACCAGCAAGACCCTGAACACAAGGAGCAGCTGTTGCAGCAGCAGCAACAACAGCAAGCCCCCGAGAAGCAGCAGGTATGGCAGGAGAAACAGCAAGACCCCAAGAAGCTACAGGTGTGGCAGGAGAAACAGCAAGACCCCGCGAAACAGCAGATGTGGCAGGAGCAGCAGCAGGACCCCGAGCAGCAGCAGGTGTGGCAGGAGAAACAGCAAGACCCAAAAAACCAGCAGGTGTGGCAGGAGAAACAGCAAGACCCCAAGAAGCAGCAGGTATGGCAGCAGCAGCCACAAGACCCGGCGAAGCAGCAGATGTGGCAGGAGCAGCCACACGACCCAGAGCAGCAGGAGGTGTGGCAGGAGCAGCAGCACGACCCCGAGCAGCAGGCGGTGTGGCAGGAGCACCAGCAAGACCCCGAGCAGCAGCAGGTATGGCAGGAGAAACAGCAAGACCCCAAGAAGCAGCAGGTATGGGAGGAGCAGCCGCACGACCCCGAGCAGCAGCAGGTATGGCAGGAGCAGCCGCACGACCCCGAGCAGCAGCAGGTGTGGCAGGAGCAGCCGCACGATTCCGAGCAGCAGCAGGTGTTGCAGGAGAAACAGCAAGACCCCAAAAAGCAGCAGGTGTGGCAGGAGAAACAGCAAGAACCCCAGAAGCAGCAGGTATGGCAGGAGAAACAGCAAGACCCCAAGAAGCATCAGGTATGGCAGGAACAGCCGCAAGACCCACGAAAGCAGCAGCTGTGGCACGAGCAGCCGCACGACCCAGAGCAGCAGGTGTGGCAGGAGCAGCCGCACGACCCCGAGCAGCAGCAGGTGTGGCAGGCGCAGCCGCCAGACCCCGAGAAGCAGCAGGTATGGCAGGAGAAACAGCAAGACCCCCAGAAGCAGCAGGTATGGGAGGAGCAGCCGCACGACCCCGAGCAGCAGGCGGTGTGGCAGAAGCAGCCGCAAGACCCAAAAAAGCAGCAGGTGTTGCAGGAGAAACAGCAAGACCCCGAGAAGCAGCAGGTGTGGCAGGAGCAGCCGCACGACCCCGAGCAGCAGCAGGTGTTGCAGGAGAAACAGCAAGACCCCGGGAAACAGCAGGTGTGGCAGGAGCAGCCGCACGACCCCGAGCAGCAGGAGGTGTGGCAGGAACAGCCGCACGACCCCAAGGCGCAGCAGGTATGGGAGGAGCAGCCGCACGACCCCGAGCAGCACCAGGTATGGAAAGAAAAACAGCAAGACCCCAAGAAGCAGCAAGTGTGGCAGGAACAGCCGGAAGACCCAAAAAGTAAGAAGGTGTGGCAGGAGCAGCCGCACGACCCCGAGCAGCAGGCGGTGTGGCAGGAGCAGCCGCCAGACCCCGAGCAGCAGGAGGTGTGGCAGGAGCAGCCGCACGACCCCGAGCAGCAGCAGGTATGGAAGGAGAAACAGCAAGACCCCAAGAAGCAGCAGGTGGGGCCTGAGCAGCCGCACGACCCCGAGCAGCAGCAGGTGTGGCACGAGGATCAGCAAGATCCCAGGCAGCAGCACTTATGGCATCAGCAACAAATGCACCAGCAAGATCCCGGAGAGAAGATGTTATGGCAGCCACAGCAACAACAACAGGAGCCAGAGAAGGAGCAGTTTTGGCAGCAGCAGCAACTGCAGCAACACGTTGCCGAGCAACAGCGGTTGGGGAAGCAGCAACACCTCCTACAGGATCCCGAGCAGCATCAGTTATGGCAACAGGAACAGCAACAGCTTGGGCCCGAGAAACCGCAGCAGTTGCTGCAGCAGCAGCAGTTGTTGCGGCGGCAGTACCCGTCACAGCAGCTCCATAAGCAGTTGCCTCAGGACTTCGAGCAGCAGCAGGAAAACATCCAGCAGCAACAGCCGCAGCATGCAGATGTGCTGCAGCAACACACCGGCAAAGAGGAAGATCCTCCCTACCAACTGCAGCAGCAGCAGAAAAAACAACAACGACAGAAAACCCAGCAGCAAATGCTGCTGCAGCAGCCCTCTGAAGACCTACAAACTTCCTTGCTGCTGCCACCAGAGAGACGACCTCAGCCTATGGTCGAAGCAGAGCAGCAGTTGCAGCCCCTGCAGAAGCAGGCAATGCAAAAGCAGGTGCTGCAGAAGCAGGCACAGGAGCAGAGGAAGCAGTTGCTCCTACAGCAACAGGAGGCGCAACAGCTGCTGGTGGAGCAACCACTGCAGCAGCACCAGCAGCAAGAACAGCCGCTGCTGAACCGGCAGCGTGTGCCGGACTTCCATGCAGTGCAGCAGCAACAGAAACAGCAACAGGAGCTGATGATGTTGGAGCAGCAGCAGGCAGAGGGAGAAACGAGCACGAAATTTAATAACATCGGCACTTCACAACGGCAGCAGCAGCAGCATCAGGAAAAGCAGCAGCAGGAGCTGCTGCTGTTGCTCCCTCCCGACGACGAGTTGGGCAGCACGGAGAGCAGCAGCTACACCACACCTGATACGTCTCCCCAGAGCAGAACCAGTAGCACCAGAAGCAGAAAATTCGGCAGCAACAGCAGCAGCACAAGCAGCATCAAAGACAGCAGAAGCACAAGCAGCATCAACGCCAGCAGCAGCAGCGGCAAGACAAGCAGCATCAACGCCAGCAGCAGCAGTAGCTTGCTCACCAGCGGTGACAGCAGCAGCAGTTTCCCAAACAGCGATAGTAGCAATATAAACTTCCTCAATGGCAGCAGCAGCACCAGCTTCATTAGCAGCGGAAGCAGCAGCAAGGAAAGCAGCGGCAGCAGCAGCAGCAACTTCATCAGCAGCGTCAGCAACGAAAAGCGCGGCAGCACCAGCACCAGCAGCAGCTTCATCAGCAGTGGAATTAGCAGCAGCAGCAGCCGCGGTAGCAGCAGCGGGAAAAGCGCCAGCAGCATCATCAGCAGCAATACCAGCAGAGGCGGCATCAGCAGCAGCGGCGGAAGCAGCATTAGCGAAAGCAGCCTCCTCAGCGGCACCAGCAGCAGCGAGGGTAGCGGCATTAGTTTCATGAGCGACAGCAGCAGCAGCAGCTTCAATAACAGGAACAGGAGCAGTAGGAGGAGCAGCAGCAGCAGCAAGAACACGAGCAGCAGCAGCAACAGCACTGACGGAGGCAGGGAGGCAGTAGCATTTATGAATTTATCTCCAGAAGCAAACAACCCAGAAATTTTTATCGACTCCGCAGATGACCTCGCAAAGATAGATATAGCCTTGGCAAGGGGGCAAGACAGCATCAACGGACAGCCGCAGCAGCAACGGAAACGGCAACCGCAGCAACAACAGCATCGAAAACAGCATCAGCAAGGCCGGCAGCACGAGCGGAACCAAGTGCTGCAGCACGAGCTGCAGGACGAGCTGCCGCACGAGCTGCGGCACAAACAGCAACTAGAGCAGCAGCACGAGCTGCGGCACAAGCAGCAGCAAGACAAACAGCAAGACCAGCAGCAAGACCAGCAGCAAGAGCAGGAACCACGGGATGTCTGGGGAGGCGGGCCTGGATTATCACGAATAGAAGGCTTCCCTGTTGGGAAGTCAGATGGCAGCAGCAGCCGCAGCAGCAGCAGCAGCACGGATTCACTTTCTTTCTTAGACGAAGGCGAGAAGCAGCACACAACAGCAGCAGCTGTGCGTACGCCTCGTGGGCGCCAACATATGGAGTCTGCAGAACGCAATAGAAGACGGCCGCCGCGCACACCACATTCTGCCGCTGCTGTTGCTGCAGCTATCGATGCTGCTCCTGTTGCTGTTTCAACTGCTTCTGATACTACCACCTCTATTTTTGTTGATCCTGATCCTGATCCTGCTGCTGCTGCTGGTCCTGCTGCTTTTGCTGAACCTGCAGCAGCTAGCCGTGATTCTGCGGCTACATATGAGTCTGGCACTGCTTTTGCTGCTTCTCCTGCAGCCACTTTTGCTGCCACCCCTGCTGCTGATCAGGCTTTTGACCCTGCTTTTGACATTTCTGCTTCTCCTGCTGCCGCTCCTGCATCTGCTCTTGCTGCTCCTGCTGCTGCTGAGGATGAGTTGGAAGAGGACGAGGAGGAAGAGGCTTGGGGAGGAGGAATTCTTGAGGCTGCTGTTTCAGGTATGCAGAAACCGCAACAAGACGGCGTCTCAAACAGCTCCTCACAATCTAACGGAACAAGACAGGCCATCAGCAGCAGCCGCAGCAACAATAGCAGCAGCAGCACAAGTAGCAGGACAAGCAGCAGGACAAGCAGCAGCACGGCATCAGCACAAGAATATGAAATGCTGCAGAGGCCTTCTTCCTCTTCTGCTGCAGCAGGAGTAATCGGCCTTCTCCCTGAAGAGACCGCCGACATTTTTTTTGATGTCGAAGAGAGCAGCAGGAGCAGCAGCAGAAGCAGTAGCAGCAGAACCAGCAGAAGAAGAAGCAGCAGAAGCAGCAGCAGAAGCAGCAGCAGTTCTGCTGAAGAGAAACATATTCTTTCTCGCCCGGTGAGCGGAGATGAAAGCATCGAGGGCGATGTAGATGAGGCAGACCATGATGGAGCAGCAGCAACAGCAGCAACAGAAGCAGAAACAATTGCAGCAGCACCAGAAGCCGCAGCAGAAGACGAGTATCCACATGAACAGTTAAGCGGCAAGGCCACTGCCTTTCCTATGCAAGTGGGCAGCTCCTCCATTGCGGCGTTCGCAGAAGCAGGACCAGGGGGAGGAGGAACAGCAGCAGCGACAGCCACAACAAAAAAATCAACACCACAGCAGAAACCGGTATCACTGGCTCCTAGAAGGCCATCTGCAGCCCCAAGGGGCAATAAGCCCTTTGGCGAAACTGCTGCAACAGCAGCAGCAGAGGTAGTAGCAGAAGCAACAACCGAAACAGAAGAAGCAGCAGAAGAAATAATAGAACCAGCAACAGAAGTTGCAGCAGATGCAGAAGAAGCAATAACGGAAGCAGCAACAGAAGCAGCAGCAGATGCAGAAGAAGCAATAATAGATGAAGCAACAGAAGTAGCAACGACAGCAGTAGCAGCAGGCCAGTTGCTGCCCGCAGCTGCTACATTGCCTGTTTGGGGAGTAGAGACACAGGAGGCAGCAGCAGATGAGGATGCTGTGGTTTTCTATGAGGACCCACATGCAGCAGGTGCAGACACAGACACAGAAGCAAACACACAACAAGTTGAAAAGGTAGCAGCAACTCCAGCAGCAGCAGCAGGCAACGGGCCCAACGCATACGCCCGTCAACAGCAAAACCGTCTATCCACTCCTGCAGCTGCTGTCAAGCCTTCGGGCACAGCACGAGGAGGAGGAGCAGCACCACCAGGAGAAGCAGCAGCAGCGGCACCAGCAATAGGAGCAGGAGCAGGTGCATTGAGCGGGGAAATAGCAGCAGTAGAAGCCACGTCCGCACTTGGAGCAGCGTCAGCAGCAGGAGAAACAGCAGCGCCAGGAGAAGCAGCGGTACAAGCAGCAGCATCACCAGAAACTGCCAACATCGGCGACGCATCCGTTGTGGGGCCTCCTGTTAAGAAACGGGGAAGCATGTCTCCTCGTGGAGATTTCCTAGCTCAGGTTAACGCTCCTGCTGGTGCTGCTGCAGGCAAGGGGGGAGGCGAAGAGGGAGGCGATGAAGAGGAATGGGTGCCGTGGGACGAAAGCTGGGGAGATGACGTCCAGTGGATTGACGAGGAAGAAGATGCCCTCCCTAGCAGCAACAGCAGCAGCAGCAACAGCAGCGGCAGCAACAGCAGCAGCAGCAACAGCAGCAGCAGCAACAGCAGCAGCAGCAACAGCAGCAGCACTATTGGCAGTGGTAGCGGGAGTAGCGGTGGGACGGCACCACCTGCCGCTGGAAACCTTTCGCCGATGCAGACGCAGTTGCCGCAACAGCCACAGCAGCAGCAGATGTTCCTTCAGCATCAACAGCAGCAACAACAAAAACCGCTGCAGCAGCAGCAGAACAGCTACGGCACTTGCGACCTTCTGAGTGCTGCACGTGGCGAATGCAGCTCTCCCTATGCCTCGCAACAGGCACGAGAGCAGCTGTATCAGCAGCAGCAACAGCAGCAGCAGCAGGCCTTGGGTTCATCAGGTCGATATCCTCCCATTTTTCAGTCTCTTCAGGGCAGCCTAAGCCCTAGAGGATTATCGGGATGCGACAGCACCTGCTGCAGAGAGGTGAGCAGCAATTCCGCTGCTGCAGTTGCTGCTCCTGCTATTGCTGCTACTGCAGGTGGTCCGTGACTGATGAATATATGCTGCGTCTGTTGTTAGTATGCTTAGATAGCTTTCTTGCTGCTGCGGGAATTCGTCCGATATAAGGGAAGGAAGCTGTAGTCAGTCGGGTGTCTCCTCTTCCTACTGCTGTTGCGGTTGCTGCTTTTGCTGCTGCTGTCCTGCTAATGTTGTTATTGTTCCCCCTACTGTTGCTGCTATTGCTGCTACTGCTGGTACTGTTGCTGTTGTTACTCCTGCTGTTCGTTTAGGGATTCTTTTGTTCTGTAGCAGCTGGCGGCTGTTCCCCACAGCGGCGGCTAGGGGAGTCTTGTTTAGGCTTTGCTGCTTTGGAGTGTCTTGGCGGAGGTGTGTGTATTAGTAGAAAATGCTCCCCTCCCTTCTCTGTGCTGCCTGCTACTGTCAGCCACACTGCAGCAGAAGCACCAGAAGCAGCAGCAACAGCAATCAACACACCAGTAGATATCCTCCCAACAGGAGAAGACGACGCAGCACGAACAGCAGCAGCAGCAGCACCCCGAGGGGTGGTGAGCATTGGCCCTGCGGTGTCTCCCCTTCACGTTTGTGTCCCTTGGAGTCGTCCAGTGCTTGTGGGGGTTCTTCCTGCTTCTACCTCTCCTCACCCACAACAGCAGGAACAGCAGCAGCAGCAGGAGCAGCAGCAGGAGCAGGAGGACCAAGCTTTGTTGCAGGTTGCATGCGAAGCCTTAGAAGGGCAGGAGTGTTCTAAGGATGCAGACTGTTGGGGGTTTGCCTCTCCCTTTGGTTATTGCCTACAAGAACAAGGACGATGCAGATCTCCTCCTTTTCCTCTTTGTCTTCCTCTTATGCAAAAGCTGTTATCCATTCAATTAGAGGCATTTAGCCATTCTCTTGGTGCCTTCCAGCACCAGTACCCCCAGCAGCAGCAGCAACAGCAACAGCAGCAGCAACAGCAACCGCCTATAGAAGCCATGGTGCAGCAGCAAGCTCAGGCATTCTTGTTTGCGTCTGTTCCCCAGCCTTCCCATTTTGCTAGGGGGGCCCCCAAGGGGGCATGGGGGCCCCTTGGTGTTCCTAATGGCAATATTATCGCCCCTCCTCTGAGGGAGGAATCAGCAGCGCAGCAGGCGGGTTTGCTGCAGGCAGCTCTTGTTTGCTGCTTTAAATACAGAGAGACACAGCAGCAGCAGCATATGCTGGAGCAGATTGTAGATCTGAGCGGCCTCTCCGAAGGGCCGCAGTGGAATATCCCCTGGCTACCCAATCCTCCCGCCATTGCTGCTGATACACTCCAGCAACAGGAACAGCAACAGCAACAGCAACAGCAAAAGGAGCAGCTTATGCAACAGCAGCAACAACAGCAACAGCAACAGCAACAGTTGCTGCTACTGCAGCAGCAACATCAGCTCCTTATGCAGCAGCAGCAGCACCACCAGCACCAGCAGTTGCTTCAGCAGCCACATGCCCTCCCCGGAGCCCCTCAGCTGTGGGCTGCTGGGGGAACCCCACCTTCAGCCAGGCGGCTACAGAGGGAGCAGGAGCAGCAGGAACAGCAGCTGCAAGAGAAGGAACAGGAACAACAGCAGCAAGAGCGCGAACCGGAACAGGAACATCAACAGGAACGGGAACAGGAAATGGAACAGCAACGGGAGGAGAAGCAGGAACAGCAGCCGGACGAGGAGGAGGACGAGCAGGAGCAGAAGCAGGTCTCTGAATCGGTAGTGGTAGCAGCAAAAGGGCCTCGCAGCAACGGAGAGGGCCCCGCGTTTAGTGGAACTGTCTGCAGCATTGCCGCCGTTGATTTGCTGCTGCATTCGTTAAGAGAGATATTTGATTTAAACCTTTCTCCTGCTGCTGCTGGCACCACAGCTGCCAATATCCACACAGATGGGCTAGATGCTGTCTTTGATGCGGGGGCAGCAGCCCAGCAACAGCAGCAGCTGCAGCAATTGCAGCAGCAGCAGAAGCAAGCTCCACTCCTTGAAACAGAAGCACTCCTCAGGCTGCAGCATGAAGAGCAGCAGAGGCAGCAGCAGCTTCTTATGCACCAATATGCAGTCAGCAACGCCCAGAGACAGCAAGACATGCACCAACAACAGCAGCAGCCGCAGCTAGGAGCAGCCACCCAGCCAGCAGCAGGTGCTCTAGTGTCTGCTCCAGGAACTGCAGCAGCGGCCTCGCAGCTCCCTTCGCCCCTTGTCCTCAACCCCACTACAACACCGGAGCAGCAGCAGTTGCTGTTGCAACAACAACAGCTGATGCAGCAGCAACAGCAACAACCCTTCGTCGCCCAGAACACCGACACCGCCCCGCAGCAGCAACTGCAGCAGCAACTGCAGCATCAGCAGCCGCAGCAAGTTGATGGTATTCTTCCAGGGCCAAACGGCCTTCAGCAAGCGCTGCTGCAGCCTGCTGGTGGCTCCAGCATGCAAACGCCAGCTGCTGCATTAAAGCCACCAGCAGAACCAACGCAGCAGCAGCTGCTGCTGCAGCAGCCACTGCAGCAACAGTTAGCGCTGCACCAACAGCAGCCACTACAGCAGCAGCCACTACAGCAGCAGCCACTGCAGCCGCAGCCACTACAGCAGCAGTTAGCGCTGCAAGAACGACAGCAGATGCCGCACGTCATCTCAACAGAGCCGGGACCTCAGTTTGGTCTCAGCGGAAGACGAATAGACAGCACATCTGCTCTAGCAGCAGCAGCAGCAACTGGACAGATGGGACCCGCAGAGCAGCAGCATCTGCAGCAGCAGCTGCTGCAACAGCAGCAAGTGCCTTCGCCAACTGATCCAGCTTCCGGTGGTGGTGACGCGTATGCTGTGCGAAGACAGGCAGAACGCCCAGCAGCGGCAGCAACCGCAGGAGGAGCAGCAGCAGCAGCACCAGCAGCAGCAGCATTAGCTGCTGCAATGCCTCCGTCCGGGAGCCGTCAGGCCACAACCTCCCCAGCGGAAAGACCAGCAGCAACACCAGCTGCTGCTGCTAGAGGCGGCCAGGGAGCAGCACAAGGAGTACCAGTGGAGTTGTGGGCAGACCCTGCAGCAGCAGCGGGAGACGGCAGCAGCACAAACCGCTTTCCTCAAGAATTGCAAGGAGGAGGGATAATGCTACAGCAGCAAGTACCCAGAAACAGGCAACGTAACAACACAATCAGCCGGCCGCAGCAGCAGCTGCTCCAGCAGCAGGGGTCTGGACAGCATCTGCATACACCTGCAGCTTCTTACGGCAATACAAACTTCCAGGTCCCCGTCAGTAGCAGCAGCAACAACCCCAACACCATCGGCACTGCACCTCCTGTGTCTCGCCGCGAGAGGCAGCAGCAACTGCAGCAGCAGCACCATTACTACCACCAGGCCAGGCTAGCTGCTCAAAATGCGCAGCGGCAGCAACGGCAACAGCAGCACCAGCAACACCGCCAGCAGCAACTGCAAATGCAGTTGCCATTGCAGCAAGGGGGCTCTCGTACACGCCCTTCAGCAGCAGCACCAGCAGCACCAGCAGCAGAACCAGCGGCGACCCTCCCGGGAGTGAGCTCAGCATATCAGCCCACTGTGCAGCATTCGTATGCCGCCCCGCACTACCAGCAACAGCAGCAGCATCAGCAGCATCAGCATCAGCAGCTACAGCAGCGGGAGGAGGCGTTGCTGTTACCCCAGCAACCGTATATATCTACTGCTCAGGTTTACTCCCCACCATCTCAGCAGCAGCAACAGCAGCAGGAGCAGCCGTTCCCCTTGGGGGCCACCCATCCTGTGCCGGCTTCACAGAGGAGATGGGCTCACGCAAAACCCGTAGAAGGCCTAGGGGGCCTACCCAAGGCAACCCCACAGACAAATACAGCTCCGCAAGGGGCCCAGCAGAAGCAAACCCCACTATGGGGGGCCCCCACAGGGGCCCCCAATAAAGTGGCCCACCAGGGATATGGTGGTCGCGGGGCCCCTATGAGGACCCTTATAGGGCCCTTCCTCAATGGGAATACCCTTTTGGGGGCCCCTGAGGTGTTTGACAGTTCTGCTAGGCATTTGGCGGAGGCAAAGAGGGGACCAAAGGAGAAAGAAGAAAAGGTTTTAATGAGGATTAAAATACAGGAGAAAACGGTTAGAAATAAACACAAAATGATGTTGGCTTAAGAATCAGGATATAATTGAGAGGACAGCAGCAGACACTTCGACGTTATGTAGCTAAGGTGTTTGCTGTTTCTGCTGTTGCTGCTGTGCTGCGTGTGCTGCGTGTGCTCCTGGGCTGCTGCCGCTGCTGTCCTGCTTGTGCTATTGCTGCAGTTGCTGCAGCAGCTGCAGCAGCTGCTGCCTCGAGTGCAGCAGCAGGATGTCTTCTTAGGGGGATTATTGGCAGTGTTGAGGGAGCAGCTAGCGCTGCATCTACGAGGGGATTGGTTCGAAGTAACGGCGTTAAACCTGAGGGTAAGCAAAGAGAGAGCCAGCGTCCTCTTGGGTGTATATACACCTCAACAGCAGCAGCAGCAGCAAATTCAGCACACAAGAAAACCTCAACGCCATCTCTGCGCATTTGTAGAAGTTCTTCAACAGCCCCCCCTACAATCGTTCCTGAGTAAGGGTCCCTTCCTGCATCTGCTGCTGCTGGTCCTGATGCTGCTGCTCTTGGTGGTACCTGTGGTGCCCTGCGGTCGTTTTTCCTGCTGTTTTGGCTCTGCGTCTGTCGACGGTGGTGCTGCTGCTTCTGCTGCTGGTGCTGCTGCGATTTCTGTGGCTGCTGTTGTTTGCTACTACCGCTACTTTGGCTGTTCTGTTGCGGCTGCCGCTGCTGCAGAGACATGGGGTATGGAAGATGGCAGTATGGAGTTGTATGGAAGCCCTTCTGTGACCGCATGCATAAAGCAGCAAAAACGAACTAATTTAAAATGGAGGCAGCTAATTATAAGGCCTAATCTTTGTTCAACTGAAGCAGGTTTTGCTGCTGCTGCTTTAGATGTATACCTGCGCATACACTCCGAAGGCCGCCCCTTGCAGCGGTGGGAGAGGTCCTTAAGAGCCCTCGTACAATGGATGCAGGCACTGCAGCAGCAGCAGTTGCAGAAGCAGAAACAGCAACAGAAACAGCTGCAGCAGCAGCTGGAGATCATGAAGGACTTAGCTGCTGAGCTGGTGTCGCTGGTGGGAGCAGCAGAAACCCGCAGTTTGCTGAAGGAGACTACGGAGGGCCGAGGTAGTGTCGCTCGTCCTGCTGTGCTGCTGTTGCAGCTGCTGCAGCTGCTGCAGGTGCTGCAGTCACAGCAGCGGCAACAGCAAGAGAGGTCTCAAAGCTACCGTGTTGCAACGGCAACAGCAAAGGGGCTGCTGCTGCTGCTGCAGCGGCTAGTGGAAGAAAGTTTGACGGCTGCGCTCCCTGAAGTAGTGCGTCAACACATTGCTGCTGTTGGTGCTGCTGGTACTGCTCCAGTTCCTCCAGCAGCAGTTGCTGCTTCTGCTGCATGCCGTGGGGCTGTCGGCCAGCGGCGTGAGAGGCGGTGCAGCAACAGCAGCACATGCTGCCACAACTGCAGCGGCAGCAACAGGGGTGCCTGCTGTAAGACTGTGTTGCAGCAGCGGCAACACCTGCAACACCTGTAACAGCAGCAGCAACAGCAGCAACAGCAATTCGCTTATTGTATTGTCTCTTTTTGCTGCTGTCGTCGCTGCAGGACCCGCTGGAGGTGGTGGGTCTGTACGCAGACAGCAACTCCATCTTTATATCGTTGTTAGTAAGTCAGCGTTGCTGCTGTTATTGCTGTTGTTGCTCCTGTTGCTGCTGTTATTGCTGTTGTTGCTCCTGTTGCTGCTGTGATTGCTGCTGCTATTGCTGCTGCTACTGCTGCTGCTGTATCTGCTCCTGCTGCTGTTCTGGCCCCAACTGTATATTCCGTTTTTGAGTGTTTGTATGTTGTATGTATTGTTCTGTGCTACTGCTGGTGCTGCTGCTGCAGGGGGCCCCTACCCTTGAGTCTGAAGTGTACAGTCACCTCAACCAAACGGAAGAAGCATTTGCTTCCAATAAGACAGACATTTCTTATTTGTTGCCTCCCTTTTCTCTCCTCTTTTGTCTATCCCCCAATGAAGTCAAAGTGATTGAAGGATGTAAACACAACCTGCTGGTGCTGCTGCTGCTGTTGCTATTGCTGTTGTTTCTGGGGCCGTTTTTACTGTAGCTAAGTTACTGTTACTGCTGCTGGTACTGTTCCTGTTGTTGATGCTTTTGCTGTTTGTCTTGTTCTATCTGAGGAGTGTGCATTTATGCGAATTCAAGTGCAGCAGCAGTCGAATTTCCGCTGCTGCTGCTGCCATTTGCTGCTGCTGCAGATGCCACGCTGGTGGAAACAGCAGAAGAGGAGCTGCCGCCCCTCCAGCCAATCCTCTGTCTCTTTAACAAACATCTTCTCCTTCAAGCAGCACAACATAAGCAGCAGCAGCAGCAGCAGCAGCAGCGGCAGCGGCAAGAGGAAGGGGTTTTAGAGGAAGCGTTTGAGAAGGCTGGTCTTCTTGTTTCTGATTTACTAATGGATGCATGCAGTGGCGTTTGCGTTATTGAAGAGACAGGAATAAGCGAGTCAGAAGAAGTTATCGCTTTCTCCTTCTCTGTAGGCTACCATCCTGCTGCCCCTGCTGCGGCAGCGAGTACTGCAGTAGCAGCAGCTGGTGACGCTGCTGGTTGATTTCGATTTATGTGCTTTGTTTAATCTTTTCTTTACTTATTCTTCTATACCTAATTCTTTCCTTGTGTATGATTTTTATTAGGATATTTATATTCAGAGTATATATATATATATATA